TTACCTCCCTTGTATCATAGCGTTGCTGTAGCCATGTTTTTATTTTATTGATATTTCATTTAAGTTTGTGTTTTTTTTTTTTTTTTTTTAACTTTAAAAACTTGCTTCCTTCAATATCTAATTTATATCTTGATTTTAATTACTTTTTCTCTGTAAAAATTTAATTACTTTTATGGAGGTGTCACCGGAGAAAATGTGATAACTAAAGTTTAAAGTGAATTGTTAAAAATAAAAAAAAATCTTGATTTTTTTTTTTTTTTTTTGGTTTTAATTTCAAGCTAATAGATTAAATTTAATATTTCCAATAAGCAAAATACTTTCAATTTCAAAAAGTAATTAACTGGAAGGATATTACTTATTTTATTTTTTTGTTTTTTGCTAAAATACCTGATTAGTACCCTGTTTTAGTCGTCTTTCATCACAATTGTCTTTATTAAATCTTCCAAGACTAAAATATACTTTTCTTAGAAACTTTGAGGAAAATTGACTGATTTGACTCCAATTAATCTGACTTGAAACAAATATTATTCATAAGTTTAAAATATTTCAGACTTGCATTTTTAACACATCGATTGCTGTTTTGATAAGGTATGACTTGTTGTGTGGAGACTTTATCTGTAAATTGTAATGGAAGAAAATGACGCAAATACCTTTCTTAGACAATTTTTAAGTACTCAGTAATCTTAAAAATTTAGGAAAATATTCTCTGTAATCTAATGATCTATTGAATTTTAGGTACTTTATTTGTTGATAATGTGTATGGCAGCCCATGCTTACAAAAATTAGCACCCAAAAGAGGGGAAAAAAAAAAATTAAGTTTTTTTATTTATAAGTCTTGGGGTTTGGTGATTAAGCTTTTCCATTTATGATTAGTAAATATAGGTTACATTTATAACTTCATCTAAAAGGCTGAAATTAATACAAAATTTTAAGATTTGAAACTGAAAAATTCATTAAATAAAATAAAAAATGGAAAACACTTCTAAAAATTCACTATTCATCAGAAAAATCTTAAGACCATAGTGTTCTTAATATATTAAAGCTTTTAATTCCTTTTACAATTAAATGTTGGTTTTTATCACATTTTTTGTTTTGATTCTTGGTAAATGGTGTTTCTATTTGACAAAAACAAATTGATAATTTAAATCCAAGAAGTCCTGCTTTTAACTAATACGAAGATGGTGGAATTTTAATTTTTTTCTGAAGTTACATAAAATTAAGTGAGTGTTAACAGATAAAGAGAAAATATTTTAAAATATTTCATTCATTCATTCATGAATAAATCCTGAAATTTTATTAGAACCCAACTATGAATTTTGCAAGAATTTTCAAAACTTTTTACAGCAAAAACAAAAAAAAAAAAAAAATTGCTAAGTTTCCTGTGCTAATTAATCTTTGGCCCACCATTGACAAAGAAAAATAACTTTAAGAAATTTTGAATGTGCTAGAAAAGATTAAAAATAGAAAAATATGAATTTTTTTTTTTTTTTTTTTTAAACTTGAATGAATAGTTTGACCAAATGTAATCAAGGATTAAAGTAAGTCTTGACCTGATTTTCGTTCAGTTTGCTTTTCTTATTTTGTTTGATACTTGTATAAAGTGGTTTTATAAAATAGTGTCTCTTTATTATGTGATGATTTGGAATTAAAAACAATCTTTAGGCAAAAATTTTAACTTTCATGGAGAACACTATGAGGCATGCTTTTCAGGACATGTTATCAATTTTTATTTTTTTTTTATTTTTTTTTTTTAATTAAATTGTACAGTTGCAATTTGGGTGTTGTCACTCCATTAGAGGCTTGGGAATTCTGATTTCAGTCATGAAAAAAGTCCTGGGATTGTCTGAATGTATTACGTAATGTTAATTTTTATTTGTCTTGTTGCATAGAGCCAGATTAAGTGCCCTTAATGGTTATTGAACTGATGAACTGTGATTTGCAAAGTCTTTAATAAATGTACTTGTTTTTTCTGAGTTAAATGTGAAAAGGTCAGCATTTGCACTTTTTTTTTTCCGAGACAAAAATTTTGACATCTTACTTTAAACGGCACAGTCAGTTTAAAGTGTCTTTCAGCGAAAACCATTCTCATCTGGAAACCATTAGAATGAAACATGGAGACAGACTGCAAAGCTCTTTTGCCTACCCTGACCTGTCATTTTTATGTCTGGAGAAAATAGTTAAAGTGAAAAATATTGTTATTAGGAGACTCTTTCTTTGTTTTTAAAAAAAAAAAAAAAAGAATTGGGTTCATTTTTAATTAGGGTGGCATCTGTGAAGTATAATGTCAAACTTTCATCCACCAGACCTTTTATTATTGCTTTTCTCTCACACCTTGTATTACTAGTTCTCATGTTTTACTATCTCCCTTAAACTCAACTCTCCAAGTTTTCTGTTCAAGAACTGCAGTCAGTCAGGTATCAGTACTCATTTTTGCCCAGGGACTTAAAAACTATTCTAAACCTAGCTTTGGTCGGCCTACCCTATGTTACCGAGTAATTAGGTTTATAAGTCCCAAAAACTCATAAACTGATGTCCACAAGGACAGATGGTGCAGTGGATAAAAGTGTTGGTTAGATCCTGGTGACTTGACTCAAAGAGTTGTGAGTTCAATACCTGGCTACTGCAGTGGTGAACAGAAAACTTGAAAAGTTGAGTTTAAGGGAGATAACAAAGACATGCGGGAGAAGTATGAATAAAAGAGAAAGATGAGAACTAGTAATACAAGGTGTGAGAGAAAAGGTCTGGCGGATGACATACTTCACAGATGCCACCCTAATTAAAAATGGACCCATTTTTTTTTTTTTAAATAATATTTTTTTAAATAATAAATACAAAGATAGAGTCTACAAATAACAATACTCAAATTAAGAAATTCCTAAAAAATCTTCTCCGGACATAAAACGACAGACTGCAAAGCTCTTGCCTACCCTGAACTGTCTCCATGTTTCATTCTAATGGTTTTCGCTGAAAGACATTTCAACTGACTGTGCCGTTTAAAGTAAGATGTCTGTTGCTCTTGCCTCTCAAAAAAAAAAAAAAAAAATGCCAACGCTACCCTTTTCACATTTAACTCAGAAAAAACAAGTACATTTATTAAAGACTTTGCAAATCACAGTTCATCAGTTCAATAACCATTAAGGGCACTTAATCTGGCTCTATGGAGATTTTTGACCTTTATTTTAATCCAGCCACATGTAAATTCCAATTACCTGAAGAAGGCTTCAGCCTTCTTCTGGTAATTGGAATTTACACGAGGTTTCAACCTCATGAATATGACAACAGAATGTACCAAATGAAAATCAAATGACTCAAAAGTGAAACATGTTAAATTGATGTCAGATTCCAACTCTATAGAATCGTATGGTGGATTTTGCATGCACAAAAAATAAATTTTAATTTCAACTTGAATAACAGCAGCAAAATGCATAATTAAGAGCTACATTGGCAGAGGGAGATTGAACAAAACACACTCCATTTTGTAAAGTGTTAGGTTTATTTCTAAAGACAAATCACAGTTGATCCCCACGGCCCTGTTTGGTTTTTGGGATTGTGCCAAAGAAAAAACATTGGAAAACCTCCAATTTTATTGATCCACAGAAGAGGTTACTATATGTGGGGGAGTATTTTCACCTTGGGAAAGTGTGTGTGTGTGTGCATTGGAGGAAGGAAGTAAAGGTGGACAGGGGGAATAAGAAAAATTTTTGGAATCAAATTCTGCATAAAAAGAATTGTTTTCATGTCAAGAATTCAAAGATAGCCACTGTTTGCATTTGCATGCATGTCCCAGATCCAAACACAGTTTGTAATTATTTTGGAGGATAAAAAATAAATTATTTCAAATGAAAAGTTTCAGTTATGTAAATGGAGTGGGGGATTAATGAGTTTTGCATGTGTGTAACATTCCTTTTCTGTCTGAGATGAGACAGAGACAGAGAGACGGACGGACGGAAAGAACTTTTGGGTAGCATTTAACAGTAATAAGGTTAGTTTTTTTTTTTCCTACCTTCATTGAAGTAACAGAAAAAAAAGAAAAAAAAAAAATATGTCAAAACCATTTCTTGCTGACAAAAAAAAAAATATACTAATTTTATCAGTACATCAACAGGAGTTTAATTTTTAGGATGATCAAAGTAAATTTGGGTAGGCGAGTACTTTCTGTTCCTCAGATCTACAGTGGCACCCGTTTTCTAATGTCAGTAATAGTGACATTGAACTGAATTATAAATCAACCAAAAAGGTGGAAGTTTTGTTTTAATCATTACAAGAAGTAAAATAAAACAGGATTCAAATGTTCTTTCTTGTTTTAAAAAGTGGTCAAGTTAACCCAAAGATTAGAAAGATTGACTCAGGGCAGGGGGGGTCTTTCTCTATAACTGGAACAAACCTAACATGATCATTTTTGTAGAAATAAATTAAGGAGTTTGAGTAATTAATGGATTTTATTTATAATTTGACATTATTACTTTAAACATTTCATTTTTTTTTTTTTTTTTAAATAAGCAATCTCACCTCTACCAGGCTGTAATGTTTGAGAGTCTTGGTAGAGAATATGTGCCTCAAGCAGGGTTTGAACTTTCATCTTCTGGTTTCACCTATAAGGAAGATGCAAGTTCAAACCCTGTACAAGCCATTTTTTCCTTTAAGACTCTCGAATGCCCAGGTTGCTAGACATAAATTTACACTGTTTAAAACAGCGAGGATGTCTACTCAAGCATGAATATTCACTAAATGTTTAAAATAAGAAATAAATTAAATTAAAATAAAATAAAATCCCCAGTGTCCTTTAAACATGAGAGAGAAAAAAAAAACTGAATGGAAAAAAAAAATAGAACAAAAATAACACTTTTCATCAAGCTTTTTTCTTTCTTTTCATCATTTATACAGAAGACAATAAGAGATGATGATGATTGATAATAATAATAATCATAATCATAATAATAATCATAATAATAATAATAATAATAAGAACCCCATGGGAGTTTGTGTAAGAAGGTCACACTTCAGTATTTCCTGAAGCCAGAACACTGAACTTGATTTGCTGTACACCGCCCAACATTTTTTCGTTCGGAATAATTCTTTTGCGTTACATTCAAAGTTTTTAAACGATTTCTGATTGCAGATGGGCCACTGCTAGCAGAAATTGTGACTGGCTTAGTTGATGTGCCCCCTCCTCCGCTATTCACGGCTATTTTATTCTCAGGTAGGCTAGCAGATTGCCGGAGAGGACCATGTTGTGAATTCCCATGTAGACTCAGACTCCCCACCGTCATAGCCGTAGAGAAAGGGGCCGGATTATGGCACCCTTTGATATGCGAACCACTCTTGCTCGGCAAGGAGGAAGGGTTTGATGCTGCTGGTGGTGGTGGTCCACTTTTTGCTTGCCCAGAGTGAATAGGTCCAGATTTGATTTGTGTAGGCAAAGCTACAGTTGTTGCAGTCACTGAAGGGGGAAACGACAAAGTTGAAGAGTTAGTTGTCATCACAGATGGATTAAAATAAAGGAGGTGGTCTTGTGAGCCCCGCAAAGGAGGTACAAGTGGTGGGGGCAGCACAACAGGCTGGTAAGGGCTGTATAAATCCGGATCACTCTTACTGCTAATTATGTTGCAATTAGTGATGTTACAGCTTCCTGCTCCATTGGATTTTCTGTTAGTCCTTTCTGGTTCTTTGGAGCAGGAGGAGGTGGAAGGGGTACTGAGATCCCCACCATCTGTGGGTGAGGAACCATCTGGAAGGCCCATGAATAAAAGACCTGCACTGTTAAACTGAGTTGTAGAGTCGCTTCGGTGAGCAGGCAGTACGGACTTGCTTGTACCATTCACTTGGCCCATCTTCAGATCCAATGATTTGTTTTTCTTCCTTTTCTTCTTTTTATGCACTTCCTTTGTCTGAAAGAGGAAGAAAAAGATTAGTAAAAAGAAAAATTGTTATTAGATTTACAAAAATATAGATTACAATAAGTTTATTTCCAAAGTAAAGTGAATATTGAAAAAAAGAACATAATTTTGGTTTATCAATTACTATCAGTCAGAGTAACAGGGATTACTTAGAATAAAGTGGGTGAGAGGAAGAAGAATAAAGAAAAAGTGTATATATATATATATTAATCAGAGTAACGGATTACTTAGAATAAAGTGGGTTGGAGGAAGAAGAATAAAGAAATAGTGTGTGTGTGTATATATATATATATATATATATATATATATAAAATAAAAAAATTATATTAAATATTAAGAGGTGGGTAACCCTTAGCATGCATGTCAAACATGGCATGCTGATTACTTGTTTCCGAGACGCAAAACTTATTAGGTTCCATTTTTACCCCTACCTGTACCTGTAACAGCGTTCACCTGAGCTGGGTTGAGCCGGTTCCAATATTGGAGTTTCATGGGAATTTGGAATTCACAAGCGGTCCCCAACCCGCATGTATAGCACATGAGATTTGATTATAGTGGTGAAGGTTTCGTGCAGGACCATCCACACTTTTTGAAGGGCCAATTACAGCGACCTGGTGCACTATGTGCCACGAGGTCCTCAAACGACCCTCCACAGACTTTGAATTCAGAGTTGTCCTCCTTCTAGACCAGTTGCCATCCAAGGCTATAGAACCCAGTCTGTCCTGCTATTTACCCATAGCTGGAGGGAGAAGAGGATTCACACCTTTCCCAAGGGTATTTTTGACTTAACTTTTATTCCTTCTCCTTTTTCATGTATATCATTATCTCATGTATTTTTTATTTTCTGCCCTTTACAGATTGTGCAGATTGGAGATGGAAGTATCAGAAAGAAATGTGGAAAACAAAGTATTAGGAGCTTGGAATAGCGTTCCAGAAGATTTTGTGTTTAAACTTGCAACAGCATAACTATCCATGTTTTCATCTACATATGCTAGTGAATCTTTGTTCTCAGTGATAAACTAAGTCTTGCCACAAGAGTACCCTAGTAGTGCATGTATATCTCTCAAGGTTATAAATATAAAATACAAATATAAACCTGATATAAAATCTGTGTCATCAGTGATGCAGCAGCAGAAGTCCCACTGATAATATATAAAAAGAATCAACAAATTTTTTGTCTCTAGTTTTATCTGAAGTTTCTTTTGAAAGTGGTAAAGGTCCATGGCTGTTTAAAGATAAATACATTTTGTTTTCTTTATGAATCCCATCAGGGCTGTAGGTGCAACACATGTACCATGGATGCAGCAGGAGTAGTGTTTCTTGGGCAAGATAGCCTGATGGAACCCAACCCTCTCCAGTCTTGTTTGAATTCATAGTTTTCCTTTGCCTGGGCCAGTTGCCACCCAAGGCTATAGAACCCAGTCTCTTCAGCTATAGGTAAATAGAAGGACAGAGAAGAATAGGATTCAAACCTTTCCAAAGGATATTAGCATGTAGGTGAATATAATGGATCAGCAGAAGGTTATTTTTAATAACCTTTTACTGTGTTTTAGTCATAAAAATATATAACTGAGAAAAAATGATGATTGATTAATCAAAAGTGTTAATTTTTGTGTTGATTCTAATAATTAATAGTGTCTTTAAATTGTGTGAATATGTATGGCAGTTACATTATAAAAATAAAATATATCAGAAAAAAACTTTTTCATAAACACCTGTCAATTTTTTTTCATTTCAGTCAGTTTTACATGATTTACATAATTTCTTACAATACTGTGTCTTTACTGCTCTGGGGTTGATATTTTATCATTTTAAAAGTTCTTCACATACATAAGAGCTATCAAATATGTTCTCAAAAAATTTTATATTGGCATGTGGAAAAATATTGTGTCAGAGATTTGTCTGGTTTTGGCACACACACTCAAAAAAGGTTGTCCAACCCTGGTCTAGAAGAAAAACTAAATTAAAGCGCCACTCATTTGGGGGTATCTTTAGACAAAGAAAAGGCTACACAAATTAGATCCAAAAGTTCAATTGGGGGGGGTGCAGACTCAATAACCTTCCTGCAACTCCTGCAGTAGCACTGATACCAAACTATTGGTTTATGATTTGCAGCCCAAAATTTCCATAGCTCCTGTTCAGGCCTGTAGTGCAAGACAGGTGGATGGCAAGTCACTTTTTATCACACCCCCTTAGACAGTCATTCTAGTGTTGTTCATAAATAATAATTTGAGAAGTTGTGATGAAAAGTGAGTAAAATTTAAATGCAGGATTTTAAAATTAATGAATGGTTGATAATTCTTGATCGAATGATAAATTAAAGTTTTTGTACATTTTAAATAGGCACTCTCTCTCTCTTATATATATATATATATATATATATAATGCGAGAGAGATATGAAAAATTTAGATGTAGACTTCTTTAATCAATTGGAGATAAGAACAAAAATTAAGTTTTCCAATGAATACAAAATATTTTTACTCACCTGTCCCAGGAGGAAAGGTATTTCAGGTTCCACAATATCAACAGATTTAGGGCAAGCTAGAAAAACAAAAAATAAACACAATATTATCACATATATATATATATATATATATATATATATATATATATATATATATCACACACACACACACACACAGAGGACGTCTTATACACATTTTGAAGTTTTCTCAAAAAATAATCCAAGCAATTAGTTCCAATAATATCTAATTTAAATAATGACTATGAAGACAGTATTTATTACAAGTGCATGCTCTTAAGATTTTGTCATCACATGTTTTCAAGTTGATGTCCGTTATGATCCAGACAAGCAGCAATCAACATTTTAATAGACATTTGGCTTCATTCTTGCTCTATGGAAACTTTCATTTCGTTGCTAGCTTTGTAGTGTAAATTTTAGCTTTAACATCTTATATATATATATATATATATATATAACGGGGAATGCATGACTAAGTGTGTGGAATATTAGCATCCAAACATGATACCTTGGTGAAGGAGGTGACTTCTTGATGATATTGGCCTGGCGAGATACACTCAGCAGGTGGCACTGTTGAGAAGTACCTGAAAATCACACCACAAGTGGACCAAAGTTTTTTTGAGTGAAATCAGGGAATAAAAACTTTTTTGAAGCTGTCAATATTTGGTAGAGCACAAAGTCAAAAGACATCATGACTGAGAGCTTAAATGTACTGGAGTTGTTCAAACTGGTGATCACAAAAGATTATATACTCTATCAAAAAAACTATAAGATCTGTCTTAAAAATATGTATACACATTTTGAAGCTTTCTCAAGAAATAGTTCAAGCAACCAGTAGCAATTATATCTAAATTAAATTCATTTATTATAAATACATGCTCTTAAGATTTTGTCATCGCATGTTTTTAGATTGATGCCTGTTATGATCCAGACATTTGCTGAAAACACAATGGAATCACAAGAAGCAATCAACATTTTGATAGGTTTTTTGCATTTCTGTTAAAACTTTCCATCACCCTTTCTTGCTTCACAGGGCGTGGTTGATATCCATGGTCTTCCAAAGTGGTTCTTGCACACACCAGGTACAGTACCATCAGATTCAAACTTATCTCTAATTCATGAAATTGTAAGATTGTGGATCTGAATGAAACTCTTTGGGGCTGCCATTGAAATTTTTGTACTTTCATTAGCATTTCAGAATGAACTTGCCTTGTTCAAAGCTAAGCCGGGACAACATTAGTTATATTAATGTATAAATCTGAAAAGAAAACTAGTTGACTTTGACTATACACCAAAAGTTTGTATACATTTGAGACACTCCACATACCCTCATATAATTATGGTGTAAAATCTCCAACAGATATTAAATTAATCAGGTTTCAATCTCAGCTTGAGGCAATCAGATGTCTAGCCACACTGATGAGCTGTGAAACAGCAAAACAGTCAATCTGTGGATGACTTATATAATGCTCCTGAAAAAAATTATTTCGGTTGAGCTCTTCAGGGACAAAAGTGAATTTGTAAACAGTGACTATTAATGCTACTGATGAAAGACTCTTCGTTAAGATGAATTGAGTTCTCTAGTCACTTGCGTGTTTGTCTAAAAAAAATAAATATATCTAAATTCACCTTCATCCCTGCTGTGCACCAATGGCTTAGGGGGTAAAATCTCTGACTGATACCAAATCAGTCAAGTTTTGATCCCAGCTTGAGTCTAACCACATTGATAAGCTATGAAACAGTCTGCCTGTGGTTGACTATATATATATATATATATATATATATATATATATATATATATAGAAATCGGTAGGATAAGAAAAAAATGTACATATACACACACACAAATACTTGCACATACATAAGTATATTTCTTCCACAGGTGTTATAAATACAGTGCTCAATATTATGAAACAGAGCTATAAGTATATATTAGTGAATATACATACTGACATTGGATATTATGTATATTCACTATTACATATAAAGTCAAAAATTATCCGCACTTTTCCCATAACATATCTCTAGGTTTGTTATACTGCTTTCTGCTCATACGTGCTTATAGTTGGTACTATTGTGGTCATGTGATTGATGTTTGAGCTCCATCATGCCAGTTTTCTTGCTGCTGTTACAATATAAACATGGCCGCTCTGCTAGCAGTGTTCACCAAGGAGGAACAAAAAGCAGTGATCTGATTTCTCTGGTCAGAAGGTGTGTCAGAAGCTGAAATTTATCATAGGCTTTTAACACAATAGTAAATAAATGATTAGAACTCATAAAATGCAGACATGTAAACTATGTTACTTAAAAATTGAAAACTAAAAACAAGAATAAACAAAAATAAATAAATAAAAAATAGAAAATAAAGAAAAAGTAAAAAAGATTAATCCAAACCAAGTAAATAATAAACAAATTAACTAACCATAAACACATATGTAAACATAATAATGACAACTAACAATAAAATAATCAATAATAAAAAAGTTAAGAAACAACACTATAAATAGTCCCAAAACTGCATCCGGATCCACAATTATTTCCACTTAATAGTCCCTAGAATAATTTGAAATACAACTATTAGAAAAAATACAAGACTATCAACAATGCATCACTAACCTGTATATATAGTCAAGCAAAAACAATGCATATGGCCTGACAGTTATGCTTAAGCATGAAACAGACTGTCAGCTAAATTTCCACATACACACACACACACACACATATATATATATATATATATATATACACACACAAGTAAAATAAGATTAAAACAAGATGCTTATTTTAATATGAAAGTATGGCCAACAATTATTCATTTCATATACACAGTAATTGAAAAGTAATGTATGATAGGCTCTCTTGTCTTGTAAAAATTATAGTTAGATGGAAGAATCCATCATACATAAAAGTGAGAGTTACTTTTCAATCAGTGTGTGTGTGTGTGTATATGTATGTATATGTATATATATATATATATATATATATATATATATATATATAAATAAATAATGCATTTTATTTTTTTAATTTGATATTTTTCATACTTTAAACATCATTTTTAGTGGATACATGTAAGAGTTGATGCTCTGTTTATTTTAAACACTATTTTATCTACCAATCTGCATACACAAGAGATCTGTCTCTCTTTGCAGAAGGAACCACCATCTAATCCAGTGTTCTTTTACCACTCAGCTACAATGAGCTTCACAATAAAGCAAATTTCTCTCTTGCCTTTAAATCACACTCACTCATTCAGATTTTTTCTTCACACATATCTTCTCAGTTTCATATGCAAAAGTAATTTCTAAAAAGTTAATGGATTTTATTTATTTTTTAATACTTTTGTGTTGATAATTTCAAGAAGTAAATAATAATTTCAAGAAGTAAATAATAATTTCAAGAAGTAAATAATAATTTCAAGAAGTAAATAATAATTTCAAGAAGTAAATATTAATTTCAAGAAGTAAATAATAATTTCAAGAAGTAAATAATAATTTCAAGAAGTAAATAATAATTTCAAGAAGTAAATAATAATTTCAAGAAGTAAATAATAATTTCAAGAAGTAAATAATAATTTCAAGAAGTAAATAATAATTTCAAGAAGTAAATAATAATTTCAAGATACAAAAATTTTGGCTTTAGAGTCCAATTATCTTACCAAGATCATCAGCACTGCGTTGTCTTACAACTTCTCGATGATTTGGTGTTAACTGCAAAATTTCTGAATCTGAGTTGCGCCTTCTACTTTGGGAAGAATTCTGTGTTTGAAGGAGATCTTCAAGAACTTTAGCCACCAAACTTGGCGGCAGAGATGGCTGTCGTTTTTTTAAGCACACCACAAAGATTAAAGTCAGAATAGCCATTTCAATCGATGCCCACACCATTTGCCGATCAGTGAGCTAAAAGGAAAAAAAAAAAGATTGCATAAAGGTGATTTCTCGAGTTGCTTTATATTTTTTGCATAAGAAGCATAGTTATCTCCCTTGAAATTTTTTCTTCTCCAAAGACTAGCAAGAGTGATTGATGGTTGTCAATTATTCTTATATAAATATTGGTCATGTACTTTCATCTCTCCTATATATCAATTAGTTTCTGTTATAGAGATAAGTTAAACTTTAAAATGGTCACAACCTTGTGGCCCTACATGAGGTTAAGAGACTGTCAGGTAATTGCCATATATGACACATGCTTGGGTGATTACATCTTTCAATTCTAGGCTGAAGATTTTCCTATAGTAGTTTTTTTTCTGCAGTAGACAGGTTGTCACCCAAAGACCTAATCTGCCCTGCTATTCAAACCCTTAGATGAAAGGGAGGAGAGATAGATTCATACCTTTCCCAAGGGTATTTGTGTATAGGTGAATGTAACAAACCTGACTAGAATTTGAACCGAGTTCTCATTCAAACTGTTATCATTGCACAGAAACTTTATAAAATTTTAATTCTTGAACTCAAACTTGATGAGAACAGCTCTGCTTGATATGTGCCAGTCAATGATAAATAGTGAAAATATCAAAATGTAAAATCTCACTGACAAACAACGTTCAAATTTTCTTTTCCTTAATTTAAAAAGAAAAGTTCAAGTACGATAGTAAACACTTTATCATCATCTTAAATATAGACATTCCTTAAGAAATACACAAGCTGATCATATCAGCATTTTAGGCACTGAATGGTAAGCTTCATTTTAAAAATGTTTAACTTTTAAATGCTTGCACATGATTGTAAGTCATGTTGTTGGTCCTGACCTGGCATCTCGGCTTCTGCCACTTTCGGCCATAATGTAGCTTCCCTGTGCCTTTTTCCATAAATACTTTCATAGTAATTATTCAGATGAATTTTATGAATTTAAGCGCAGTACTAGATTGGCAGCAAGGCCTCATTTTACAGTTGAAATGGCTAGATGTAACCGTTAGTTCTATGCAAACAGTTTCTTCTATCGCAATTCTTGCTTGTAAGACTCTCTTCCACCTTTTTGCATCCCAGCTAAAAGGGAAGGCGGGGGATAGGCAGTCCACCCTAGGTAGCACTTTTAGTCTGCAGTGAGTTTTCAGAAAAGATAAAAAACAATAGCATAATTTCAATATTTCAATAATTCTTTAAAAAAAAAAAAAAAAAAAAAAAAAAAAGCAGCAGCAATAAGAAAGAAGCCAATTTATCTTTGATAACAACTGGTTCAAAGCCAGCCAGCAATAAAAAAAAAAAAATTCTCCAAAATACTGTCAGTTGGTGGGGGATATACCCCACTTACAACACATGAAAAAAAATTTGGACATTTTTAAGGAGCTTGACGTGGGGTTGGATTAACTGAATTTAGTGAATCCACATTTTTTTCAAACCTTTGATGTGAGACTTTGGCATCATTTCTTTAATTTTGATTTTTCATGTCTGCAAACTTTTAGTGAAAAGAAATTAAATAAGTGAACCAATTGTTTTTTTTTTTTTTATCTTATCATAGGCCTAGTTTTATTGTTACTTTTAATTTTAAAATAGATAAATAAATTGAAATAATTTCAATGCTTTAAGGATATCACATGCATTCCAATTTTTCCGGAAATATCAAACAGAAATTTAAAAGAAAACTGAAAATTTTTTTTTTAGTGCAGAAACTTTATTTAAAGTTCAAAAATGGGTATATTTTTCAATTTACAAATTTTCACAGTAGTAAAACAATGCAATGTTTTATTTTTTGTTTAGATATATGAAGTTTTACTAAGCAAAATAGACTAAGAATTAAAAGTATGATAACATTTATTTCACTTTTTAAAAGTGAAATTAATTTTATTGGATTTTAATTCTTTACTACTTTGCTAAATTCAGCTACATAAAACAAAATAATTTAAATAAAAAGACATTGCATTTTTTTTACATTGTTAGAAGAAAAATGAACTGTGTTTCTTTTAACACGGCATTTAATTTATGACTCTTCACTTGTTAGAATTGAAATAAATATTAAAAAATACTGATAGATTATGAATTAAAAGTATGTTTTTTGTTTTCGTTTTTAAATAAAACAGAGGGTATATAAACAAAAACAAGTTATCTTTCTTTTAATATCGTAAAAAGTTTTTAAGTTTTTTTTAGAAAAAAGTAGTAATGTCTTCAATTTTTTTTTTTTTACATATCCCCAGTTTTATTTTAAAAAGATAAAAAATAAGCCCAGTTGTACTTTTAATTCATAATTTATCAGTGAGGAGATATAAATACCACATTAACAGAAACACGGAAAAAAAAACTGGCATTATATGGGCATTAGATTCTGAGAAATGGATAAAAATTAAAAATCTATTTGTGTGTGTGTTTTTGGCATGGGCAGCAAAAACACTAGGCTACACCACTGCATCCCAGTCAACTTTTTCAAAAATTTAAATGTTAATCATTATTTTTGGTCTTAATTCTTGTTCTTTTAGTGTTCTCACTCTTCAAGTTTGTTTTTTTCTAATATTCTCTAACATTCAGTAACTCCTTGTGTCTTAGTAGCTTTATTGCTTTGCTTGAGGTGAAATGATTAAAAATACACAGTGTGTAAGTAAATATTGTATTCTAATCTTATGTGGATATTATCAATAAAAATAATTAAAATTAATGCCCGCCCGGTGTATGTATATATATATATATATATATATAAAATGTTCAACTAGTGGAACAATGGTACTAAAGGTTAAATATTTATGGCATAAAAAATTATAGAATGGTAAGAATTTTTTTGGGAAACTCTGAGAAATGCAATTAGCTTACATGTCTTGTGAGTTCATCCATATTGTCTGAGAGTTTGGAAACAGCTTGGGTTAAATTGTCAAGTCGAGCTTCAAGAATATTCAGATGGACTTCATGGCGTTGGACCTACATAAGAGAAATGTGTATAAAAAAAAAACTCAATTAAAAACGAATAAATATCAATATATCAATAACTGTTATTGGGCAAAACTTAAGCAAATTATTCCACTCATAAAAAACAAGAAAAATTTTTTGTGGGGGTTGGAAACAATTTTTGTAGATTAGCCTTCCTTAGATTTTGAGGCATGACATTTGTCACAATAAAAATATTGATTCTGAGGGGTCTTGTTCATAATATAGTAGAAAATCAATCCCTGACGTTTTACAGAGTTATCAGGACCTAGTTGTTCTGCATACGAAAACCGATTTCCTTTTTTTTGGCCAAAAGCTACCTTTTAAACAAACTGAATATTTACAATTTTAATTAAAGAACAAAAAGTCCAATCAAAAGGTTGAGTATACATGGGAGGGGGGGGCGTTAGAGATATGTTTTGGTACGCAAGGAAGCAGCAACCCCCAAAAGTTTGTGAATCACTAGACTAAATGGATTCTGTCCACAAATTATCTGGAGATATTAATCAAGTTTCTCTATCACCTGGAAATTGGAAAGTTACCGCTCACACAAAGATCATTCATTTATTAAAATAAATGAATGAAAAAATAAATAAATACAAAAAATATAAAATAATTACAGTTTCCTCAGTCTTTTTTGTCGCATTCCGAAGACGGGCAACAGTTCGATTGAGAAAATTCATCATTTCTTCTGACTGTTTACGATATCTCTGACTCAGTTCATCCAGAAATCTGCAGAAAATAAAATAAAATAAATACATACCATTGGAATTATTATTGGGAAAAACAATATTAACCCTATCCCAGGCAGGTTTTTTGGAATTGTGAAATTGGGGTGGGGGTTGTCTGACTAAAATGGCATAGAGTTCCAAATAATGGCTTAAACTGTTTAAAATTTTGCAGGATTATTCGTTTATCTTTTTTATTTAAAGTTGGGCAACTCAAAGTGGTGTAACAGTTAGCAATGATTTTTAGTACATTGATCTTACAGAACTAAATATAAGGGTTGTTCCAAAAATTTAGAGCCTGAATCTGATCTTTCTTTGAGTGATTCCAAATTATTCCATCAATTTGATGGATAGATTTTTTTTTTTTTAAAAAAAACAAACACCTTATCAACCTTTTGCAGGTTATTTAAAGTCAGAAAATATTTTTTAGATTGTAAGAATTTTTTTGGAGATAATTATTCACCAATACAAGTTCATAGCTGGAGGGGGAGTTGCAGAAGAGGAGGATTCATATCTTTCCCAAGGGTATTTGCGTGTAAGTGAATATAACAAACCCAACTGGAATTGGAACTCTGATTTCCAACTTCAAGCTGTTATCCAGTACACCACCCACACATCCAAGTTTACAGCACTTTCTATTCATAAGCAGTCACCCAGTTAAATACTGACTCAAGCTGGGATCAGTTGGAGATTTTACCCCTAAGCCAATGGTTAGCAAGCTTGTCTCCTAGAACAATTAAGACTGAGTAGTGAGTTCAATCCTCACTGGGTGCTCCATACTTTCGGCCTTGTGCCACATTTAAGCTACACTTAGAAAATCACTATCTTTTATTTAAAGTTTTTATTTGGTCTTGAAAACATGAATTTGAGAAGTAAATATACCAAATGATTCAATGTAATCATTTCATTTACAATGCAAAAACATTAATGCTGAATGTACTTTGAGATATTTGTGTACTTCAATCATAAAGTACTTGGATTAAAAGGTTAAAGAAATACTATGTGTAATTTTTTAAAATTACAAAAATTCCAATGTTTGCAAAAATAAGCTGATGTCGGCAATTACAAAGCAAAAGGTGCATTTACTACGTTTGCAATTACGTTTAGAATAACTCAAAAGTTTTTCATGACAGTCTATTTTTAGCAACATATCTATATTGAAAAATAAATTCAAAATTTACCTGCTACTGAGGGAGACATTTAGTTCGAGAGCTTTTATACGATTATTAAGTCTCATAATTGCCGATTCCCTCTTAGCTGCTGGGGGTAAACCAACCCGAACAAGAGTGTACAGAGGTCGCCCTTTAGAATCAGGTTCAGCATCCATCTCTTTGTCTGGCCGTGCAGTCTTTTGGTCTGGTCTCATCACAGGTATTGAGACACTCAATGACTCTGGAGGGATTACTTTTGATGGAGACTCCGATACTCGTGTTGGCTCAATGTTGGCAGCAGCTGGTTCCATCTGCTCACCGTCAGTCGATGGGAGACTAGCTGTCGTTATAATATTGTTTTCAGGTAAAGAGTCTTCCTCTTTGATATCTGATTTCAGTGATGAGGCTATGACCTGTTTGTCTTGACTGTCAGGTACCACAGATGAGGTGGGGGTCAAATTGTGAGAGAGTGGATCCACAGAGGATCTCTCAGATGACACAGCATGCTGGAGTTGAAGCTCTTTTATGGACGTTGAACTTGGTTCAATGTAGATGGTCCCTGCAGGTGTGCGGAAGTCAATGTCTTCGCTACTGCTACTGACTGATGAAGCAAGCTGAGAAGATTTTATTAATGTCGAAGTCAGTTTATCAGTAAATTGACTTGTCAGATTAGCTTTTTGTTCCTGGCTGGTCTTGAGCGTCACTGACACAGTCTCTGATTCTTCCTTTGATGATTCCAAAGTGTCAAAAACTTTGCTTTCATCCTTTTTGCCAGTAATGGTTTCACTTGAAGCAGATGGATGAAAATCTGAGCTTGGTTGAAGGCTGGGTACATTATCCAGGATAGGATCAGAAGCAGATTTGGATAGCGTGGCTATGGATGCATCAGTTTCAAAAGATTCTGGTGCCTGAATTGCAGCCGTCTCTACCTCTTTAATGGCTGACCAAGACGAAGATGAAGAAGATGCTGTGGTAGATGAGGCTCCTATTAATGTGACAATGCTGCTTACAGGGACTTCTTGACTGGTGGGGGACTCAGATACTCCTTGCTGTTTCTTAAAAAATATATCTGATATAATCCTAAGAAATTTACATTTTGCAGTATGGGAGGGTCTGATCAAGCATCTTGGCATGAGGGTGAGAGGCTTGAAGAGTGTCTCCTTAACAAATGTTTTCTTTTTTCGGAGGGAGCAGTACATGCAAGCAGAGGTGTGTGCAGTGAAGAGTGGTAGCTGCTCATCGCAACCAATGAGTTGGACAATTGGTTCTTCTTCGGACGAAACGGGAACTTGTTCGTAATCTTCCAGCTTGGTCACCAGGTTTTCATCAGGGTATTCAATTGTTGCATCTTAAGAAAAAGAAAAGTAAAAATAGAATAAAGAGAAAAACTAATTAAAAAATGATTTTTAGTACATTGATCTTACAGAACTAAATATAAGATTTAAAAAAAAAAAAAAAAAAAAAAACCCACCTTATCAACCTTTTGCAGGTTATTTAAAGTCAGAAGATATTTTTTAGATTGTAAGAATTTTTTGGAGATAATTATTCACCAATACAAGTTCATAGCTGGAGGGGGAGTTGCAGAAGAAGTGGGTTCATATTTTTCCAAAGGGTATTTGCATGTAAGTGAATATAACAAACCCAACTGGAATTGGAACTCTGATTTCCAACTTCAAGCTGTTATCCAGTACACCACCCACACATCCAAGCTTACAGCACTTTCTATTCATAAGCAGTCACCCAGTTAAATACTGACCAAACTCAACATTGCTTAACTTCAGTGATTATACTAGAACCAGTGATTCAATGTGATATAGCCATAAGCCCCGATTTATCTCAAATCTGTTCAAATTAACCTGAAATCTGATCAGTATAAAACAGTTTGAGAAGGCAACAAGAAACCACTCCACTATATTTCTCAATAAGTTATGGCAATTCAGATATTATAAAAGGAATCTGTGGAGAGCCATGATAGCCTACATCCTTAACGGTCATGGCATTACTCTCCCGGAGTTATCTTTTAAATAGATCAAAATCTCTAGCCCCAGGTGGCAACAAATCTAAAAGGAAGGAAAACTGAATTCAAAACTTGAGAAAGCAACATGAAACCACTCCACTATCTTTCCTAATAAATTATGGCAATTCATTATTCTTTTCCTGCAGTCAGCTCAATTAAGAATCACTTATTCATTTCCACTGGTGCCAGAAGTGTGATAAAAAAAAAAAAAAAAAAAAATCTTTGTCCAGTGTCCCCTCAGAACGTAGGTGATCATGGCTCTCTATAACTTCCTGTCCCTTGTAGCTATTAATAAATTTTGTCTTTCTGTTATTTCTCCTAAACCTTTTTCTGCCATGCATTTAATCAAGCTCACTATGTTATGCATTGTTTTCCTCTCTCTCACCTTCAAATCTGTCCTGAGATTTTCCAAGCCCTCCTTTCTCATTATGTGTCCCAGAAATTTCAGCTGCCTCTCCCTGATGTTAAGCATAAGTTTCCTTTTTGTTTTCATTTTCTCTAAAACTTTCTTGTTGCTCACTTATTCGGTCCATGTGATCCTCAGCATCTTTCTGTTGTTTCACGTCTCCTCTTCATCTTTCACTGCCATACAGGAGGACAGATATCACATAACAGTTTAGTACTCTTTTCGTCATTTCTAGCAATGTTTTTTCTATTTCTTAGTACTCTGCTTAGCTTTTGGAAGGCATCTTTGTTTATCCCAATACACCTACAGATTTCAGTGTCACACTTTCTGTTCTCTGCTAAAACACTTCCCAGATATTTAAATTTCTGCACTTGTTGGGTTTTCGTATCTCCAATTTGCATTTTGGTCTTACAAACATTCTGTCTTCTTGCAGTTAATGTTTAATCCTGTCTTCTTGATTTCCTTTATTACATTCTGTAGGTTTTTGTTGTTTTCTTTTCATGTCTGCTATCAACAGTGGGTCATCTACATATGAAACGACAGAACTAATTTCAACTCGGAACCTCAAAAGCGTAATTTTCAGTTTAAGCCCTGTGCTTAGTTTCTAATAAAAATTTCCCAAATAGTTCCATTTATGTGTAAACTTACATGCTTAATTAAAAAATAACAAAGAAATTTTGCTAAAATCTACCATTTTGGAGTTATCGACAAAATTTCGGACTTATTCGCATTGCGGTGGGTGAAGTTGAAATTAATTCTGCACCACAAGTATTAAGAAACTGGAAACTTTCATTATAAAGTAAAAATGCTGAAATGCTATGTAATATCAATCCTCTTATATGGTAGTAAATACTTGATAATTTCCTCATAGATGAAGAGGCAACAGAGATGTCGATCTACAGAAGGACACTGAGAATACCATGGACAGAATATGTAAGCAATGAGGAAGTTTTAAGGAAAATGAGAACAAAATAAAGACAATTTTACAATTTGGTGCTTTTTAAGGATTGTATCTGGTATGTTGAGAAAATAAAATAAAGCTGGAATGCTATGCAATATTACACTTCCTCTATGGCAGTGAATACTGGTTTGGTTTGTTTTGTTTTACGGTATATATCAATGGGTTATTTAATGCTGACAATTTTTTTTATTGCTTGTAATATTGTTTTTCAAAAAATCTATTGCTGGTAATACTTTTTTTTTCTTGAAAAATTTATTACTGGTGATGTATTTCTGATAATTTTTTTACAAAAATGTATTTCTAGTACTAAAACCTATTTTTACACTTTCATGGTATTTTAACTCCAGTTTAAGTGTTAACTATTTGCCCATAGCTGGAGCCCTAGCTGGTGCTACCACCCCAGGTCAGGGTGGACTTGGGAACACCAGCAAATAAGAGGTGGTTCCATGCTCCTCAAAACCTCCTGATCAGAGGCCTTGCTGTTGAATGTAGTTTATCACCATACCCACAACGCGGATGTAGTTTATTGTCATACCCAGGACAGCAGAGTGAATACTGGACAATTTCCTCACAGATGAAAAGTAGACAGAGGTGTGATTCTACAGAAGGATGTTGAGAATACCCCTCACTGAACAGATGAGTAACAAAGTGGTTTTAAGGAAAATGGAAACAAAAAGACACTTGTAGTCTAGATTTGGAATAGTGAAAGATGACTCCAAAAAGGCTAAAGGCTAAATAAAGGGGTGACAGAACTAATTTCAACTCAGAACTTCAAAAGGGTAATTTGCAGTTCAAGCCCCACGCTCAGTTTCTAATAAAAATTTCCCAAATAGTTCCATTTAGGTAGAAATATACATGCTTAATTCGGAAATAACAAAGAAATTTTGATAAAATCTACTGTTTTGGAGTTATCAATAATAAAATTTTGGACTCATTCACATAGTGGTGGGTGAAGTTGAAATTAATTCTGCAACCCATCTTATGTTGTTACGATTGTGACCACCAATAATGAATCCTAGTAGTTCTCTCAGAATCACCTCGTTGAATAAATCTGATAAGACATATCCTTGGCTTAACCCCTTACTGTTTTTGTGTATCTGCTAAATTCATTTTCCATCATTTTCAAGATACTTTTCCAATTTGGAAAACTGGAACAACACAATCCAACTTAACTACTATTTGGATTTTTATGCTAAGCTTTGAATACCAGGTTCATATACAATATTACCAATTATCACAAAAGCAATAGTAACACTATGTGGTATACAAACAGAGAAAAACAGATCTATTCAGGGGTGAGTGAACTTAGAACCCAGCAGACATTAATCGACAGATAAAAAAATAAAAAATCCCTGGCTACGAGATCTGATAAAGATAATTATTACCTCTTCCTCAAAAATTTTAAAGTTTACGCACGGTTTTGTTTTTCCAACCTGCCGACCATAAATAGGTAAAATATACTGTCTGGACACCTTTCCCACTTGATTGATTGATTGATAGATAGATAGATATAGATGACATAACTTCCTTACATTTATTAAGTGTCAAACAAATTGTTAAATGGATTTTTTACTCTTCAAAGAAACACAATAATTCCCATTAGGATGACCACTTTCAATCAGAAATATACTTTTCTTATAGATAATGTTGTAAAAATGATGGCAATAAACATAGAAATATTAAAGTCAAAGACTTGATTTTTGGCTAATCAAATATTGATTAGCTACAGATTGACTGTTTTAAAAGCATGAAAATAATAGTGGTTGTTGTTATCTAACAATTCTTCTGGTTGCATGCAACCAAACATATTTGTCATGCATTTTTTTTTTTATAACTGAAGATTATAAACTGTTGTCATCAATATATTTGGAAACAAAAGCAGTTACACATTTTTCATCTGGCATTAAGTGGAAGGAAGGAAGAGAAAAAATGCCAAGTGGATGTTTATTGACTTACTGGTCATCAAATTGATGTCACCTTGAGGCTCTTCTGGTCGGATTGGAAGAGTTGTGGCTGGAGTTGCTGTCTCACTTGGACGCTGGTCCCTAGGATAGAAAAGGAACAAATCAACATAAAAAGAATAGTTAAATTCAAAATCTAAGTCCTTGGTTCAATTCTGTGTTTCAGCATTGCTATCACAACATTCAATATAAACTAGCTTAAAAGCTGCCCTTTCAGGTGGCATTTAAGCAAGTTCCTGTGGAGGGCTCTTAATTGAGCCTTCATCACAATAGGTGGGGGGGAGTAGATGCAACAGACAATGCTAAATTAGAGAAGAACTCAAAACTGCTCATTGCATTTAAATATTGCATTAATATTTATGCTTACTTTTTAAAAATTCAACAATAATTCTTCTGCCACCACTTAATTTAAAGACAATTTGATGTATGTAGGTCCTTACTTTACATGGAAATAATTATTTTATTTCATATATGACTTTTACTGGATTTTGTATTTCGATTATACCCATTTATCTCCAAGTTATAGAAATTATTGTACAAAAAAACTGTCACAAAAAAAAAAAAAAAAAAAAAAAAAAAAAAAAACAGAAAAATCACTGAAAACAATCACAGTAGTGAAAACTTGGGAATTTGAAATTTCAGGATTGCAGGTCCAGATCCAGCCCAAAATGTTTTAATTTGCTTACGGAATCCAAAATGAACTACATTGGGCTATGGCCTCTAGGAATAAAGTTGAAAACATAGGCAATTTTATTTGGAAACACTGTAATTTGAGAACAGTAATTTTTTGTTTGAATATGTGCTATTGAAAGTTAGAGAGTTGTGCCCTTTGTTTTTATCAGTAGAACACAATATGGCAGAATCCAAAAACAATTGCAGTAACGAAAACTTGGGAATCTAAAATTCCAGGATTGTGGGTTTGGGTCCAGTTCAGAATGTTTTTAATTTGCCCACAGAGTTGGCACAATTCCAAATTGGTATGATATTTTGAACTATGGCCTCTAGGAGTAAAGTTGAAAAAAATGTGACACACTGACATTCACATTTATTAGAGGATTAGAACGTTCTTTACTTTAAATCTATTCAAATTAATCTGAAGCATGAAACAATTGGAGAAGGCAATAGGAAACTACTATTGTTCTCAAGAAACCAAGAATAGGAATCTGTGGAGAGCCATGATTGCCTATTTTCTAAATAGATATGGCATTTAAAAAAAAAGAAAAAAAAGAAAAAAAATAGTGGATATAACTCTTTTTAAGGCTAAAGGGGAAAAGGGGAGAGAAGAAAAGAGAAGGAGAAAGGAAAGAGGGGACAGAGAGGAATGTGTAATAAAAGTATCAAATCTTCTGACCTTGCATCAGGTACGCAGGGCAAACTTGTGCCATTGGCTGTGGTATTTTTCTGCGTAATATTCCGACATTCCTCTCCTAAAAAGAAAAAAAAGAATTTTCTTGACTTTGGAAGATCCAAAACACAATTCAAATATATTTGTAGACAATTTTAGAAAACAATGGCAATAATCATAATGATTTATTTGATTGACACAGCTCAATTTTGAGCAAGTAAGGAGAGTAATATAATCAAACACATAAAAAATACACATTCTGTATATATATATATATATATATATATATATATATATATATATATATATATATATATATGTATATATATGTGTGTGTGCTGGGTGTAGCAGCAAAATTGTCCAAATTGCGTAACAGAAAAATTATCCAGTTGTAACATTAATTAAGCTTTGAAATGTTTTATCTTAGAAATGATTAAAGGTATCTTACTGGAATTCTCCAAGGTTTTATAACACTATTGGAAAATACTTTGAACAATAAGAATGTATAATTACTCTCCAAGCTTAACAGAAGAATCATGATTAAATCAATCATGAACAAAAATGACGATTATCATTAATTAATCATATCTAAGGATTGGAAGCTCATGAAGGATTGAAAAAGTTCAAACTGTTAGGCATCAAGAGTTGCTCTGCCTTTGACATCCCCAACTCCTCTTCCTGAATGCACCACAAGCTTTTTTAATGAATTCTTCATCAATGTTCTCCACTCTGGTATAACTGTGATGAAGGAGCCCAAGTTTCCCTATCCCAAAACCTGTTTGCAAACTCATTCCGGAAAATTTTTTGAGCTACTGCACTTGTGTGACAAAGAGTGCAATTCTGCTGGAATGTAAATTTGAAGGCCTTATTGATCTTGTTGGGGTTTCAATCGTCTATCTCAGGATATTCAGAAAGAATCCAGGCCTTTACCTTTTTCAAAATTTGAACAGAGCAAACTCTTGTCAGTCTCTCAACCTTCTCAAACATGATCAGAGGCCACACAGGCGAAAACCATTACCTTGGCAGGGTTTTTGCATTTGAAAGTGACATTGTCTCTTTCTCTGAGTATATGAAGCCAGAATATGGCTATTGCATCTGTTTGCATATGCATCTTGTGTAAAATTCATCTCATCTGTGTAGACAATTATCCCAGGATCATTTTCCAACTTATTCAAGATGATATTCGTGCTCTCTAAACTAACTTTCTGTCCTGGTGTAACAAGGTGCCTCATAGGTTTCTTGTACAATTTCATTTTCAAGTTTTTTTTTCACTGTTCTTTGGACTGTCATAGCTGAAACTCCTCTCTCACCATTAGACACATTCAACTCTTTCCAAATCCTATGCACTGTCCTCAGATTGACACCGAAACACTTTGAAATGTTTGCATTGGAACTTCCAGTGTGAATGTCATGCAGTACAGCAAGCCATTAATTTTTGGTTGTGTGAAATGCATCATGGTGCTCATTTCCTCACAGATGTTGCCCAACTGACCCTACTATACTGTGCAGTCGACAAAATCAAAAACAACATGTATGCACAAAATTAAAAATATAAAATGGCAATTTACTCATCACACCATATATACATATATATATATATATATATATATAAACGCAATCTTCAGGTCATTGGAAACTGTTGTGCTGGGTGTCCACTTTTTATTTAAGGTATGTTGTATTTATTCATTGTTTTTGATTATTATTATTAAATTATTATATTTACATATGCTTTATCCCCGATCTTGAGAATGTTAACCCATAAATATAGCAAATCCTAAAACTATTTTTATTATATTATTACTGTTGCTTTGTTTTGCAAATATTGTTTGCTTGCTTAATATTATTTTTGCTCTGTTCTTTTCCCTCTCTTACTGTTTATTGCAAACTTTGTCAATTCTGTTTGTTGGACATTTCCGCCAATTACTTTACAAACTTACCTTTGCAAGGAATGGTAACATTTGGAGGACTGATTGCCGTGTCTGTCTCTTTGGTCGTTGCATTTTCATGCTCTTCTTTTGGTGCTGCTATAGCTGCTTTTGTCCCGTCCTTCCCTACCTGTTCATTGGTTGTGGTCAGCACATGTTTCACCAACCTTAACACTGTATCTGCAAAAGATGAACAATTATAAACAAAACCAAGGTTCAAAAAGGACAATGACAGGATATGTTTTAGTAAAAATTTCATAAGCTTGTTTTCTCTCCCTCAGATATATATATATATATATAGATATATATATATATATATATACACATACATACATACACACACACACAAAATAACCAAATGGGTAAATATAGTTAGGTATATGATCCAGTGAGCTTAAATTCAAATTCAAAATTAAACTACAATTCATTTAAATATTTTAACTCCAATAATAATATATCTCATGTGAACCAGAAATTTTTTTTACAAACCAGTGTCAAACCAAAATATAAATAAAAATAAATATAATATTTCCAGCACTTGAAAATTGCTTTGGCATGAAGCTCAGAGTTGTGCAATTAATGTAAAATATTATGCATAGTTACAATATTGGCAATAAAATTTGAGATAAAAACCACCTCTTCTCTTTATGTGAGTGTACAAAGTATCACACCTGTTGCTTTATTAATGGTAGAATGATCCAATTTCAAATCTAAATTATCTATTTAAATTACTACATTTATTAGAAAATATATTTAGTTTAAATTCAGAAGGAGTCATGAAAATGACTTCAAAGTGCTGCACATTTTGTTTTACACAAGTTACCTAGAGGTTGTAACCAGACAGAAAGCAAAATTAGCCCTTGTGACAGATGTATATTTCAATTCCATTCAGATTGTGTGTTCATGTACAATTTAAATCCATGACAGACCTAAAAATATTTTTTGCAAAATTTAAAAAATTATATTACCAAATAATTTGCAAAATGATCAATAAAGTTTTATAATTGCCTTATTTTTTTTAAGTTTTAAAATTTTATTGGTCAGTCCAGAGTAGGGGTTGTCTAAGTCTTAATGAGAAGAGAATGTATTATTCAAATTCCATCAAATAGTGTGTGTATGTGTAGTGATATCAGTTGTCAGATGATATCTTATTTTGGACACATCTGCAGGATGTTGCAGAAATTGTTTTGACAGTTATTGTCTTGACAAAGAAGGTCAGCTGAGTGGATTGGACTAAGAACCAAATCAACAGACCCTGGGTTCTTGATGACATTTTTTTTTAAAGGCAAAAGCTGACAGGACAAAGATGGCTTGTTCTCTGTAAGATAGTGGTCCTTAGCAGCCTAAAAAAAAAAGAAAAAAAATAACACTCACCTGCTACATGAAAGGAAGGCTCAATGAGAAAACTGTTTGCCAGCTCTCCCCTGCCATCTTATCTCAATTTTCTTTGCTCACCTACAGTTAGCTCTTACAAGAAAGTTGCAACTAAATAAAGTTTGCCAACTACTACAATTTTATCTATTTTTTTTTTTTTTTTTCCTTGGGTAACGATCTTGTCAGAGAATTAATTCAGAATGACTGCAAAACATACCCCTCCCCAAATTTATAGACAAAACATACAGATGAATGCTGGGATTTCTTCCTAGTCAATAAAAGGTCACTTCTTGCTTTCATTTGACTTGTTCTGTTCTTTCTTCTCTTGAAGTCAGAACACTGTGATGACTTGTCTGCATCCCTTTTGTGTGCTAACATAATTCTTAGTTTGTGAACTTTTTGTCTTATTACTGTTGCTTTTCCTTGTGTTCCACTAGAAGTAGCACCCTGAGACCGAACCTGGTGTCTGGTCCAAGCCACAAATCTACATATGTATATGTGCTTCTTTGTATATTGCATGGCATAAACATATGTAAGCCACTTATGCACAACACAGGCATATGGATATATATCATATACGCACATACAAGGTCACATGCAGACGGCGTGTGACAGACAGAGGATCAGCTCTTTTTGTAATATTGATTTTTCAGTTATTTGATGGTGAGTTTCATTCACAAGTTGGAGCCACTTATTTACATTTTGATTTCAGGTTTTGTTACTGAAATGTATCCAAGCTGATGGATTAGCCAAAAATAAACACAACATTCATTAGTTTTAAAACTAACTGTAAGAGAATAACTTATCAAGTTTATGCAAGACAAACTTGTACAGCTACAAGCTGAAGAGAATTATTACACAACTGAAAGAGAGGACTTGCAATTGCTTCTCCAAAAGGTGCAAGCTATACCTTTTAATGCAAAAGGACTTATTGAGGGAGGTGGAGAGTATTGACAACAGCTGCTATTAATGTACGCACACTTTTCATGGGGACAGCATATACACTACAGTACAAAAGTTTGAAGCCACCCCCAGAATTGGCATGGGGTGAATTTGACAGATGAGTTGGGGGGGGGGGGGAATGAAAAAGAGCTCTTAGAGTCATTGAAAAAAGAATGGAATCAATTATCAAACTTATCCATTGAGAAACTTTTGCAATGGATGCTAAGAATTTGTGCTGCAGTAATCAAGGCTAAAGGAGGATATTTTGATGAGAGCAAAATTTAATAAAATCTTTTTCTTTTTGTCATAATTTCTAATAAAAAATCATGCCTCACTTTTTTTTTTTAACTATGTATAATAATTTTCTCTTATTTAAAGTACAAAACAACTATTTTTTAGGCCAATTTAAAAAATTACTAGGGATTGTCTCAAACTTCTGAACTGTAGTGTATAATGGTTTTGTTTTATACAAACATTTACACAGATGTTGAGAATTCCCAACAAAAGATTAGAAAAAGAGTTGAATGTTAATCCACCAAGCATGACAGCTTGCTTTATAAGATGATAATGTGTATAGAATCATAACCAATCAATGTTCTTAATCGACATTTAAAATGATTAGCATACAAGAATGGAAAAAGGTGTAATTTAGAGAGAAATTTATCAACAGACCAGGGAACAAATAAATTTAAAAAACAAAAGTTGCTAAATAACAAAAATGGAGGTGAACAGAAAATACTGCAGAAAGAATAATAGATGGATGAAAAGGTTGGTTGATTGGTGTCCAGTAGATAGTAAACAAAATAGGAAAAGACCAGAGAAAAAATAGAGGGAGTTTTCTGGTAAGACATAGTAGTGAATAGTTGTAACAGCTTCATAGATGGGTTTGGAAAAGGCCTTTGTCCAGTAGTGAAATCCAAGTGGCTGATTATGTACAATATCACTGCAGATTAACAACTTACATGTGACTTCAAATTTCCAACTGAAAGCTTTGACCCGTGTCCTGATATTAAGTGATCCATTAATTCTAAAATATTCTCTTGTGGAATAGAGAGGCCTTTGGTAAAAAGCTATGTCAGGATTTGAAATACAAAATGATATTTGATATTTTCATACTGACTAAATTTAGATGATATAGTTTTAGTTGTTACTATAATATTGATTGATCTGTTTTTTACAACTTAACCCTTGTGGTTTATTTAAAGCTGAAACGCATTTTGGATTATATTTTTTTTTTTAAAGAATAAAAATGATTTTTCCAGCTACAAGTCCTAGTATTTAACTCATAGCTAGGGAGAGAAAGGAGATGGATTCATGCCTTTCCCAGGAGTAAGAAGCTGACTGGAATTCAAAATTCATATTGAGATATCTGAAATTTTTATTAATTAAAATCAAGACAAAAGCACATTGCAATTTCAAAACTGCATCTGCTTTGTTGTGATTAACAAATTTTAGACTTCAAATTTTAATCCAAAGTTAACTGACAAAATCTGGTTGTCTCAAAAGTGATTATTTCTTCCTAGTCTTTTATTCCACTTTTAAATAAGTAAATAAAGGCTCCAAAATTGGCTAGCATTTTTAGGACACACACACATGTAGAGAGAGATAAATATAGCACAAGTGATTTGCTAAGTGTAGCTTAGATGTGGTACCAGGCTGAAAATATGGAACGCACAATGAGGATTGGACTGACTCAGTCATAAGTGATCTAGCGTGACAACATTGTTGAAATTAAAAGAGGGCGAAAAAGGAGTTTTATATATATATATATATAAAAATTAAATTATATATACAAGTTAGGTTCCTACTTAAAAAAATAAATTATATATATATATATATATAAAATGACAACTTTCATTGGCACAAAAAGGGAAATCACAAAGCAAATTTCAAATTTTGTATGTTCACTTTAACACAAATACCCTTGTATTGGAAGTCATAATTCCATCTCTTCTACCCACAGTTGGGAGTTAAACAGCAATGGAGACTGGGTTCTCTGGCATTGAGTAGCAGTCAGTCTAAGAGAAAGACAAGTGAATTCTAAACTTCAGCAAAAACAACAGGAAACCACTCTCTCTCCCAAGGCATCATGGCAATTCACAGTTAAAGAAACAGAGTCTGTAGAGATCCATGACTGCACTAAAGGGACATTGAATGAATGAAGGAATAAATAATATATATATATATATATATATATATCAGAGCTGAATTCAAATTCTGGTTGAGATTGTTACATTTACTTACATGCAAATAGTCTTTGGAAAGGTTATGAATCCATCTCTTCTAGCAGTTATGTGTAAATGGCTTGACAGACTGGACCCTATAATCTTTGTAAGGACAACTCTAAATTCAAAACCTGAGGAAGGTTGTTTGGAAACCTTGTGGCACATGATGCACACCAGTTCTCGATTTAGTTCTTTTGAAAAGTGTGATGGGTCCTGGTCAAGCTTTCACCACTATAACCAAATCATCTGTGCAGGTAGTCTGGCTGTTTGGTTCTAAAAACTGAACTGCTGTGCCCTCATATCAAAAACAATTTAAGTCAAGTAAGATACAAGAGATAAATAAAATGTTTAAAGATAGTTGTAGGCAAATGAACTCATGAGGGGGAAAGAAACAACAACAACAAAAAAAGAAAAACAATAAAATGGTTATGTTCCATATAATCGAATCCAAATGCCTTAAAAAAAAAAAAAAAAAAAAAACACACACACACACACAGGTGAAGAGAAGGACCAACAGAAGAACTACACTTTTCATATTTGATATAAATAAAAATAAAAAAAAAAATCCACTTACCTTTTGCACTATTAAATAAATTTGGTGGACTTTCATTTTCTACATCATCATCTAAAGAAAAAAAAAAAAAAAAAAAAAAAAAATGGAAGTAAACAAATAAGGATCAGGTGAAAAATTTATATGACATGTCTACATTGAAAAGGAAACTTAGATGGCATGCCTACATTGAAAAGGAGACTTAGACAACGAGTCTATGTGGAAAAGGAAATTTATATGACAACTTTATTTTGACATGAAAAATCGTAAATGAATAAATAAAAACTGAGTTGAAATTAGTAAAATCTATTTTCAAACAATTACAGTTAAAGAAAAAAAAAAAACAGCATTCACATGACTAATGTGAATAATGTTCTGCCTAGCCAATGTAGATTTTGTTGAAATAAAATTCATTTTTTGATAACGCAGTTTGATCAGAGAAACATCTAAGAATAAAACTTTACCAAATTGCCATATTTGCCAGAACAATTTTATGCACTGTCTAAAAGTGTCATGGTTTTATTTACCAGCATATCCACATCTCTATGGGTTATTTAATGCTAAAATCTAAATATTTTGAACACAATTTTATGGCTTCAATTAAATATATTTTGAATGCAATTATATGCCTTCAAAAACTGTATTGTTGGTCATTTTACAATAAGTAGGTATTATTGGTCATTTTTTTTATATAATGTATTGCTGGTATTTTTATACTTTCATAGTATTTTTGTATGGAGGTTGACTTATTTGCCTATAGCTGGGACCTTAACAGATGCTACCAACTCAGATCAAGGTGGACCTGAGAACAACAGGAATTAAGAGGTGATTCCACACTTTTCAAGACCTCCAATCTCCTGATCAGCAGTCTTGCTGCCAGATGTAGTTTATCGTCATACCCAGGACTAACAAAATTTTGTAAGAAAGGACAAGTAGAAGTCATCCAGTGTGGAAGAAAAAATGATTGTAAGGCCAAATTTAAGGAAGAAAGGAACAAAGGATTATGATTCAAAGACCAAAATGCACAAGAATTTGGAAGAATGTCAACAAAGAATTCATAGACAATAAACAGAGAATAAAACAAAACAAATAATAAAGACTTGTTTTGTAACATCAAAATTTTTTTTTTTTTTAGCAAATTCACCCCAAGTAAAGCAATAAAGCCATTGAGATGGAAGGGGGTTGCTGGGTGTGGAAGGGGGTTGCTGGGTGTGGAAGGGGTTGGGGTTGGAAGGGGTTGCTGGGTGTGGAAGGGGTTGCTGGGTGTGGAAGGGGGTTGCTGGGTGTGGAAGGGGGTTGCTGGGTGTGGAAGGGGGTTGCTGGGTGTGGAAGGGGGTTGCTGGGTGTGGAAGGGGGTTGCTGGGTGTGGAAGGGGGTTGCTGGGTGTGGAAAAGTTAGAAACATAAACATAGATAAGGAGTGAGAATAGAGGAAGAATAATCAGGAGGACAGCAGATAGTGATAGACATTGCATTTAAATTTTTGTAGATTAAAGTTGGCTGGAAAGCATGGAGCCAAAAGAGAGTTCCAGAAGCGAGAAAAGAAACTTAACAGACATTACAGTTACATCTAGCCAGCTTAACTGTAAATTGGTAAAACCTCATCGCCAGTCTAGTACTGTGCTTAAATTTGAAAGGTCCAAGGTACCATAGCGAAGAGCTATATTTAGCTGTCCCCCCACATTGGGTAGCATGTGGCACAAGGCCGAGTTTAATGTGGGTCATCTGAGCTCGTAGGCCCAGCCAGAAATATAGCCTTCGAACCTGCTTAGGCAGGTTCGAGAGGTGTCAACCTTCCCGAACGAAACCTTGCCCTTTGGCAAAGCTTCGTTCGGGTTCCTCCCTGCTAATGCAGAGAGTTAGACAGACGGCAGTTGCTGTAAGTTTAATACGGCTATAGAGGAAGAGCGAAGAGCTCATCTGAATGATTACCATGAAAGTATTTATAGAAAAGACAAAGGGAGGCAACATTATGGCAGTGGGAATGTGACTGAATACAAGATGCCAGATCAGGGCCAATAATATTGCTTTTATTAATTGATTTTATTAAGGAGCTCTAGACCATATGTGGCAGCAATATTCTAAGCATGGATGACTAGACTTATAGATATGCAAGACAGACTCTGAAGAGAAAAACTGTTTAACACAACACAGTGAACAACCTTCCTGGCAGCTAACCTAGCAATGGATTCAATATCTTTCCACTACTACTCAAAAGGTCATATTGCTCAAGTCCCCCACTGTTCAATTTCGTTTTCTTGTGTGCCATTTTCACACAAGAGAGAAATTGCTTCTAGCTTAAGGGTGACCTGAAACTCTACAAAACAGGAATTTTTATGCACAGGCTGTGCAATTTTGAGAGTGAAGTTTGAAGAGCAGGACTTGGACATGTGAGCAAAAGTAATGACCTAGTTACATATTTACCTTCATCGTCGGCTGAAGGACTGCTTGTCGGCTCCCCATCAATATCTTCAATTGTAAAACCAAAAACCCTGAAAAGAAAACCAACAATTAATTTCTAACAATTAACTGACCTTTTGTTAATTGCTAAGTACCTCATCAAAGAGACATGTATTACAAGAGAAAAAAAAATTGGTACATATTCATTTATAATATTGGATAATGAATGTCATTAGGAACCAAATTGATTGCCTACCAATAGGCTGAAGAAACATTTATAATATCATGGAATGGTAGTGAAGGAGTCATGAATATTATATATATATATATATATATATATATATATATATATAAAGTCCTAGAAATATATATATATATATATAGCTGGCTTTAACCAGAAGTCCTATAAAAATCCGAATGGTTAAGCATGCCAGATCATATATATATATATGGAAATCATATAAAAACTCAGTTTGACCGTTGTAAATGGTGTCACCTTTAAGCAAACAAGGGAATGCCAGAATTAGCTAAACACAGTTTAAAAAAAAAAAAAAAAAAAATTTTTTGATAATGACTGGAAAAAAAAAAAAAAAAAAAAAAAAAGAACTCAAGAAAGTTTAACAGTTGTATAAATCTACTTAGTTGGAAGTTGGAGAAGCTTAATAAAAAAATTGGACAGCAAGACCTTGTCAACATTGTTCAACAAAATTTTCTTTAAAAGAATTCTTGCTGCTTGAATACACTTTTATGTATTAAACACAGTCAGCACATTGTGGCCGTGTTCATAGTTATTTTGAGTGTCGGCTTTTCCTTTTTTATTATTAGTGCTTCCGTTATTTTTAATCTTTTTTTTTTTTTTTTTAACATATGGATGAGGGCTATTATATTTGTATTTTCTACTAGTATATTTCAGATGGAGTTTGGTAGGTTTTTGTGTGTGTTTAAATGAGTCCTAACTGAGCTATGGTCGGGTAACTGTAATTTGGGTCATCTAGATAGGCATGTAGTAGTGTGACCAATTATTGATGAGTTTGGTTTGATCAAGAACACAATTCCTTAAGGGACATTTGAACTTGTAAATAATATTGGTTCTCTGTAGTTTTGATTTTGCTGGTGTGCTGTTGTTCTTTATGATACAGTTAGCAGTTTTAAATTTTTTATAATAGATAATCTCATCTTTTTGTTCTGATCAACTAGGATTGTTTATTTTTTTTATATTTCTAAGAGAAAATTTGTCTTGCTTGTTAACATGTATTTGGCTTTTGTAGAAAATGTTATTGTTTTTATCTATGTTCAGTATTGTTATTAGTTACTTTAGAAAGAAATAGTTTAATCTGATTGTCAATGAAGTAGTTAGGGATACCATTGTTAACTAGCATCACTTTTACATTGAGTTCTTTAAGGAAAAGGGTACAAGAGAATGAATTCTTGTGTGCTCTTTTGATGAAATTTTTTATAACTACTATTTTATATCTAATGGGCATTCACTCTTAAAATTAAGGTGACAAGAGTTTCTGCTAGTGGTTTTTTTTGTATAATGAAGTGGAGAATGTGTTACTACTAAATTCTACAAGTCAAAAAAATAAACTATTCTTAGACAAAGTTCATAGGTAAAGTTAAAGACAATTTCAAAACAAAAACTATCAATTTCTTGTTTTTTTTTTCAGTAAGATAAAAACATCTACATAGCAGACATATTTCGAGTTTAGTAACTTTTCTAAATATTGTTTTCTATGTGGGACACATAGTAGTTGGAGAAGCATGGGCTGAGTGGATTTTTCATACTAATGCCATTAGTTTGGGTGTAGATATTACCATTATGGTCATAGAAAGGGACTTTGGTTGTGCAGACATGCAATAATCTCTTAAGGATATTTGGTTTGATGGATGGAGGTGGAATGGAATTATTTTTATACACAGAGTTAAGGATTATGTTGATGGTTTCATCGACAGAGTCATTTGTAAATAAGTTTTCAACGTCAAATACCTTGGCATTGAGCAAATAAGACACTCCCAGTAACACAAATGAAATAGGCAAATGCCTTAAATAAAGAGTCAGTATAAGTCTGTTGGAGTCAGTTGGAAAGAATTTTAAGGGTGTCATTGTGTGTAGCCCAAGCAAGACATAATAGACTGCTAAGAGTGAGTTATAAAACTGTGTTTAATTATATAGTTTTTAGAATATGGAGGAATTCATGAGTTGCTGTGATGCTATAATACTCTGATCATTCTGATAGGGAAAGTACTCTGAATTTGTTGGTGAGTGCTTCAGACTCAACACGGAGGCCTACAACAAGTGCCTTGGGGATGTAGTGCTACCCTGGGTCAAGAGGGTGGTTGCTGGAAGACATTATGTCTAGCAATAGGACTTTGCGCCATGCCACACAAGCAGGAGAACCCAGTCATGGCTGTCAAACAATTTCTGTGACCACATGACCCCTTACATCTGGCTACCTATCTCCCCCTTGATTATTATGTGTGGAGCACAGTTGAGCAAGAGACCAACAAAACTCCTTGTAACACCAAAGATGAACTAAAGGCAAAGATTATGTCAGCAGTCACCAATTTAAATAAGGAGACCATCAAAGAAGAGTTGTAAGAGATTCCAAAGTCACCTGGAGGCTGTGGTTGGAGCAAATGTCAACTTTATTGAATAAATTTACTCTTTAGTATTTCAAGATATTTGTGTAATTTTGGTAAGTGTATTTGTTAAAATGAGATGTCAATGTTATTTTCATTTTTGCATAATTCAGATGATAATTTATCCAATGCACCATATATATATATATATATATATATATATATATATATATATATATATATATGTGTGTGTTAATAAATACACATACACCTATGTTTGATGTGAAACTTATATTTTGTTGGTTACCCAATTCATTGAGCATAAGATATCGTTTATTGTTTGTTTATTAACATATATTTCTTAGCTCTGTCTAATCACATTGGGCACTATTATGTCTACACCTCTTGGCTAAATTTGGCAATTATTTAATTGCTTACCAGCATATGCACACCAGCACATATGTATATGATCACTAATATCTAGTTATCTCATTTATCTAACCCTACACACACACACATATATATTTTTGATGTGCGACTCTAGTTTCATTGGTTACCCAAGTCATTGGGCATGAGATATAGCTTATTGTTTATTTTATCAGTGTATACATGCCAACACACGCGTATACAGTCACTAATATCTAGTTATCTCATTTACCTAACCCTATCATTTGATTAATGCATTTTTGATTAGTGCGTACATAATACTCGATTAGTGCGGTGAAATATTCTTTAGTTTAACCATAGCAATTAAAAATTGATTTTTTTTTTATAGTTACCGATTAATGTGTTTTCAATTAGTGCTTATCTTTTAATGTACACAGTCACACTAATTGAGGGATTTCTGCGTGTGTGTGTGTGTGTATATATATATATATATATATATATATATATATATATATACATACATATAATAATAATAGCTGGCCACTTGTATTCGAAGATACACGTCTACTAGGGCAGTTAGCCAACCCCTATTGCAGATGCTCACTCAGACACATTTGTGTTTGCTCAACCCCCACAGAGCCCACCTGTGGTTTATACTGCAACTATGCTGAGCAGACCTTAGTTACAGTTTCTGGGAGAGACCATGTTATCTAGCATGATCAACAATTTGAACAAGGCTAGTATGCTCAAGTCCTCAGTCACAATAACTTGTGGCTTTGTGCTAGCACAGCTATTGACAGCCCTCAAGAGTTCTATCTACACAATTTCACTCACAAGGCTTGGGTCAACCCATGGTGTGGTGTGTGTGTGTGTGTGTGTGTGTATATATATATATATATATATATATATATGTGTGTGTGTTTATATATTGAAATGACCATTAACAAACATGTATTGTTTCCTGCTTTTCATGAACTAAATTGAAAATACAAAAAATTTAAAAAATGATAAGCATGGAAAATTTAGTAACACTACAAGGCAGATAATTGTAAATTAAAGTTTTTTTGAAAACTTAAAACACTTCTTGATTGTGAATAATTGAAATGCACTAATATTCTTTATATAGGAAAGTAATGCAAAGAGCAGAATTCTTAAAGTTGGATAAAACAAAAGTTACTCTGAGCATGAAAATTAAGAACATTCCCACAGACAATTATTCAAGGTGATTTAACAAAGATTTTTAATAAAAAGTAACTAATGTGTATTTATTAATTTTTAAATTTTACTATATTTTCTTAATATTTTAAGTCTTTGTTCTGTGACCACAGTACAGAACCACTATTGTTTTACTTCCCCTTTGTCCTTTTTTTAGTTTAGGTACATTTTAGATTTGTCACCATTTTTTACCATTTCCTGTCTAGCCCATAATAATCAACAGCACAATAAAGCACAGGCTCAAAGCATGTGGTCCATATATTTTCTCATCCTCCAAAATCTTCTATGATAACATCGCTGATATGTACCTTTTAAAACCTTTTCTCTCTACATTAGTCTCTTAATATTATTCGTACATTTGTTTAAAGTAGTCACCTCTGTATACATTTATTTTACTATTGTATACCTCTATGTTGAATCCCATTAGTCATGTGTTGGCTGTTTTACACACTGTTCTCAAATTTTAACTTAATGTAACTTTCTTCCTTTATTAGATCTCTTAAAAAAGTCTTTGTTTGAGATAGAGAATTGTCTCATGTGGGAATGGCTACAACAACATCTCCCTCTTCAAATTTATAAACCAAACATACAGATGCATGCTGGGATTTCTTCCTAGCCAATAAGATAGGCCACCTTAGTTCTGTTCTTTCTTGAGATCAGAACACTGTGATTGCTTATCTGTATCCCTTTCGTGTGTTAACACCATTCTTAGTTTGTGAACTTTTTGCCTTATTACTGTTGCTTTGCCTACTTTTGTCTTGCATATATTATTTGCTTAATATTATTTTTGCCCTGTTATTGTTTATTGCAAACTTTGTCAATTCTCTTTGTTGGGCATTTCTGCCAATTCCATTTAACCATGTCTAATTACTCTACAGGTGTGTTTAAAGAAAAGAAAATGTTACCTGAAGAGAGTAAGAGGACAAAAATGCTCTTCCCCATAATGATCAACAACATCCACTTTAATAAACTTTGAATAATTGTCTTCTGCAATTTGGTATTTATGGACTGTCCGTTCTTCAGTTGAATCAAATGTTCCGAGTTCTTGCCATTCTTTGGAAGGATATCTGCAAGCAAAAAAAACTTTAGCATGAAAACATCCACCTATTTACCTTTGTAATCATTAAAAGTAAAAAAAATAAAATAAATAATAGCCAGGTGGTTAACTACAAGTGTCACTTAAAGACATCTTGTAGTACTACTAAGTTTAGTAGCCTATGTACCAGTTTCACTACCAAATGTGCGTGCATGTAACAAGCTGAGACATACAGACATTCACACAGATCTGTTCCAGCACATCAAGATAAAAAAAAAAAAAAAAAAAGGTAATAAATTCTGAAAATTAATCAACTATGTACTTATTAGCCAGTTTGTGGAAATTAACTACAGCCCAAGATTTTAAAAGTACTTGCCATAAAACACCTTTAACTAATTCTGTTCCACAAGTCTTTTTTTGCCTTTCATCAGCATGGCTGATGCTAATCACCAAGAGAGTGACTCTTTGCACTTTCTTGGGCTAACATTTTCTGCTGATATGAAGTGGAAGGATTATATTGAATCAATTGCTAGGTCTACTGCTAGGAAGGTTGGTTCCCTTGCCTGAATCAAGCTTACATATTTATAAGACTACTATTTGTCCTTTCGTTGGTCTGGTGCTTCTGATATTTGGAGATTCTTGATAAAATCCAAAGAATACCTGGCATCTAGGCTTCTGTCACTTTCCCACCACTGTCATCTAGCTTCCCTGTGCCTTTTCTATAAATACTTTCATGGTAATTGTCCTGACAAGCTTTCCTCTTTGGTACCTAGACTTTATGAATTTAAGCATACCATTAGGTTTCATCATTTTACAGTTGAAATGTCTAAATGTAACCCTAAGTTCTATGCTGACAATTTCTTTTCTTGCTTGTGGAAATCTCTTCCAGTTTCTTGCTTTCCAGTCAACTTTGATCTTCAAGAATTTAAAATGATAAAGCCACTAAGATGCAAGGGGTTAATGAGTGTGAAAGAAACTGAGAAACAAAACATTATTAAAGAGAGAGGACAATAAAAGAACAGGAGTTGACAGAAGACAATTGACATGGCATTTAAATTTTTGAAGAACAAAGTTTATTGGATAGCAAGAAACTGGAAGAGAGTTCCACAAGCAAGAAATGAAAGAAAAAAAAACATTTTGGTGGACTGTTTGAGATTAACTTGATTATTGTGGTTGATTTATTTTTAGTATTTATCAATTCCATTTTGGCTTATTTGTTTGAGGCATCATTTTGTTTTCCTTTGTGTTAAATAATGACCGTTCCTTTAATAATATGAAATAGCATGTACATTTGATGATTTGGAATCTCATTTCTCTGGGAAAACATTTTGTTTGGAATCTTATTTCTCTGGGGAAACATTTTGTCTTGAATCATTTCTTCGGCGAATGATCTTGATTTCTTTTGTATTAAAGAAAATGTAATTTCTTTTAACAATATGAAATAGAATATATTTGATGTCATTGTCTTCTTAATTAGGCCAAGAACTTTTTAATATTCTTTATAACATAATAACTAATTACAATAAAATAATCAAATGAATGTTAAATTTACCTGTCACTGACTGAGAATCTGAAAGACTTGGGACGGGATGAGAAAAGTTCAAGGCTGGCTGTCTCAATATTTTTTATTTGGATTGTCTCACAGAGTTCCACAATGAACCTGAAGAGAAAGAGAGAAATACATTTTCACCCAGAATATAAACAAGGTAAATAGGCAACTAAAAGAATATTTGCAAGCTGATTACATAAAACATCAATAGTTTAGTAAAAATTAGTTTACTAATCCACTCATCAAGATGGATAAAAGTTGCTTGTTCAGGCACTTGGAAAGAAAACAGAAAGGATATCAGGCTAATGCCAGTCAAGAGACACAAATATCTTACCTACCCCTTTGAAGAAAAAAAAAAAAAAAAAAAACATAAAAAAAAAAAAAAAAAAAAAAAATTATTATAAAAAGCCATTTATAAAACTGTCACACCCAATGCCTGTAATCAACCATTTTGGAATATTCTGTGTGACAAAACTTTATTTTGAAAGAAAATAATTATGCTTAAAATACTCAGAATTTAAGAATAAGATTTCATTATTATATTTTTATAATGAATGCAAAAGGAGAGAGAAACAGAGAGAAAGATAAGTTCAGAGATGGAGAGATATATTTAGGAGAGAGACAAAAGACAGAGAAGAGACAGAGACTAAGAGAGACAAGAGAGAGATCTAGAGACAAGAGAGAGACAGACAGGGGGAGAAGGGAGAGAGAGACAGGGGGAGAGACAGGGGAGAGAGACAGAGACAGGGGAGAGAGAGGGGAGACAAGAGAGACAGGGGAGAGAGACAGAGAGAGAGGACAGGGGAGAGAGAGAGACAGAGACAAGAGACCCCAGAGAGATTAGGGGAGAGACAGGGGGGAGAGAGAGAGAGACAGGGGAGAGACAAGAGAGACAGGGGAGAGACAAGGGAGAGACAAGAGAGAGAGACAGGGGGAGAGACAAGAGAGAGACAGGGGGAGAGAGAAGGGGAGAGAGAAAGAGAGAGGGGGGAGAGACAGAGAGAATTAGAGAAATTTTAGACAGGGGAGAGACAAGAGAGAGACAAAAGAGACAAGAGAGAGAAAAAAGAGAGACAAGAGAGAGACAGGGGGAGAGACAAGAGAGAGACAGGGGGAGAGACAAGAGAGAGACAGGGGGAGACAGGAGAGAGACAGGGGAGAGACAGAGAGAGGGAAGGTTGAGAGACAGGGGAGAGACAGAGGGGGGAGAGAGAGAACAGGGGAGAGACAAGAGAGACAGGGGAGAGACAAGGGAGACAGGGGGAGAGACAAGAGAGAGAGAGACAGGGGAGAGAGACAAGAGAGAAGACAGGGGAGAGAGAAGAAACAGGGGAGAGACAAGAAAGAGAATCAGGGGAGGAGGCAGAAAAAAAAAAAAAAAAAAATTATGACCACCCACCAGAGACAAGAGAGAGACAGGGGAGAGATGAAAATTTTCAGCCCCAGAGATCTTCACAGGAAAGAGATCTGAGAGAGAGAAATGAGGGATGGAATAAAAGCCAACAATTTCAAGTGCTCATTTCTGAGAGACAACTAAAAGAGAATGCTGGATATCACAGGATTTAACCAAAAGATCTAAACAGAGAACATTAGAAATTTTTGAAGCAAAACACTAATTTCAGTGCCAAGATTGACATAAAAGAGAAGCCAAAGAAAAGGAGACAAAGGGGAGAAACAAAAAAGAGAAAAGGGGGAGAGACAAGAATTGAGGAAGGGCATACAAAGTAGACAAGAAAAGAGAACAGGGGAAAAACACAAAAAGCAAAAATTTCAGACAAATTTGGGGAGAGCCTTAAAAAGTATATTAAACAGAGAAAATTCAAAGGGACAGAAGCAAACATAAAAATGAGACAGGGAAAAGAAATCGAATTAAATTCTCAGGGGGAGAGACAAGAAAATACAGGAGAAAAGAAATTAGGAACAGAAAAAAAAGGAATGGTTCAGAATGAGGATGGAGAACACAACAAAAAAAAAAGCAAAAAAAAAAAAAAAAAAAAAAATTATGACCACCCACCATTTTTTTGCCTGGCATGGGTTGATCATGTATTCATCAGGGTTTCCATTCAGGATGAATTTTGAATATTTTCAACCCTCTGGGGAAGATGGAAAAAGAACTATTTTTTTTTTATCATTCAGCAGATGCATAATTGTTATAGACTTCTGTTTCTGTGGAAAAATGCTGATGAGAAACTGCATCACAAAAAAAGAGAAAGTGAGTCTCAATCACCTCAGTGACGCGTCAGTGATGGAGATAAAAGCCAACAATTTCAAGTGCTCATTTCTGCAGCAGACAACTGGGCATTTAGAGGAATGCTGTATCATCATCTTTTTACCTCCATTTAACCTTGTGTCATAAGTTAAATTTAGTAAATATCTAGAACAGAGAACATTACAAATTTTTGAAGCAGTTTTTTTTTAAATTACAAACACTAATTTCAGTGCCAATTATTGACATAAAAAGGAAAAGCCTAAGTTGCATTCCAAATGCTAAGCATAGTACTAAGAAAAAGTTAAGTTTTGTTAGAAACAAAGAGTGTTGAGTTGTTATGTAATATGACCCAATCTGTATACACTATCTTTGATATTGAGCACTTTTACCCATAAATATAGCATACCTTCAAAGTATATTTTTATCAGGATATCAGATTTTCATCTAGTCCTTTCAGATAGTAAGCCAACAAGAACAAAAACACATGAGATTGTGTTCAATGTGTCAACCAAATTTCAATATGATTTATTTATTGAAGGTGATAGAAACATCCCATCCAATGGTGACGTCAGATGCCTTAAAAAGTATATACAGTAAACTGAATGAAAAATTCAAAGTTGGACACATTAATAGAAGCTTTAGTAAAACCAAGCAAATGAGGGCCTGTCTGGAGAATGGCTTCAACAAGGAAAAGTCCAATGATCAGTCTTAAATTCTCAGGATATTGTTTGAAAAAACAAAAAAACAATGCCAAAATATGCCTTTCAAGATCCAGAAATCCTGCTTGAAATATAGGACATTGCAAAAAAAAATACTAACAAATGCAGGCTCTGAGAAAAAAAAAATGGTTCACAAAAATGTGCAGAAATAATAAGAATTGAGCATTACAGATAAAGCAGATATTTTAGAATAAGGGAACTACTCATTAACAGGATGCAAAAACCCAAGGATGGAACACGGATTTTAGAAAACCTTTAAAAGACTACAGAGATGGAATGAATACATTAAAGAACTCTTCCAAGGTGAAAGAGGATAACTGGCAATACATGGAAATATTGAAGGACCAGAAATATTAAAATCTGAAGTGAAATCAGCACTGATCAGATTGAAAAGAAACAAAGCAACAAGACCAGATGGAATTGTAATAGAGATGTTGGCAGCTTTAGATAATTTTAGTGTTGACAAGATTACATATATAATAAACTAGCTTAAAAGCTGCCCTGTTGAGTGACATTTAAGTTAGCTCTTGCAGAGGGTTCTTGATTGGGCTGTCAGCTAGTTCAGAAGTTTGAGAGCCCCAAAGTCTATGAATATTCTCAGCATTGAAAGCTCTCCTGGCTGCTGTTTGATCTGGGTTTTCATTTGCATGGGAATTTCTTTTCCTTGTTGCAGCCTTGGCTCTCTTGTTTGCAATCTGGACCTCTGTTGGCAAAGATTTCTTTTTGCAAGGCATAATGCTGGCATATGTAAAATCTGAGAAAACAGTTGAAAAAAAAAAAAATGAACTGTTATAAAATAAAACAAGACATATCTTGGCTGATTTGCAGGCAAATAAACTAACATATTCAAGAGCGAGAGCCAGACAAGGCCCCGTCACAAAATGACCATTATCATCGTTTACGCATAGGTCCAACGCACGAGTTCCGGTTGAAAAATAAAATAATATTTTAAAGTGTTCCTATTTCTCGACCAATAAAAATGCTTCTCTCCTAATTATACTCATGTCGTTTTTTGAGCCTGTTAAGCCATAAAAAACACCATAAAAGGGGTCACACTGGGAAGTACTAGCAGTCAACAGGAGGCCAAGGAAGAGATCTGTCACGGTCAGTCTGGGCAGTCAGCAGGAGGAGCGCCATGCCAACCAGTGAGAACTACTATGAGAGATCAACCCAGATCGGCAGCCAGCTTATGAACTATACCACAAGGTAGCTGTCCCAAACCCACACGTTCCTAATGAAATAAATCATGTAAATCGTATTTCTTTCTTGCAACCATACGCTTGTCTATAACAGAACTCAAAATTGATTGCTGCATTTAAGTTTTGCATTAATATTTAAGCTTACCTTTTAAAAGTTCAAATATTTATTCTTCTGCTGCCACTTAAAGACAATTTGATGTGTGTATGTCCTTACTTTCTGTACAAACAATTAGTTTTATTTCATGGGTGGCTATCGCTGGATTTTTCAATTATTCCCAAATTATAAAATTGTTATTGTACAAAAAAAAAACACGTTTTAAAAAAAAATATAAAAAAAAAAAAAAATACGAAAACAAGTGTAGTAATGAAAACTTGCGAATAAAAATTTCTGTAACATGAACTATTGAAAGTTAGAGAGTTGTGTCCCTTTAGTTGAAAACGTGTGACACACTGACATTGGTATTTATTATATAGAAGATAAGCTATTGAGAGTTGTATCCCTTTAATTAAAAAAAAAAAAGAAAAAGTGGGGCATTTATTATCTAGATGTAATATATAATAGTGGTGATTTACTGAAAGGCCTAAGTAAATCCCTTTTCACAGTGCTGCTGAGGAAGCAATGTGCAAACAAATGCAAACCCCAAAGGACAATCAGCTTAATGAGCTACATAAAAATTAAATAGAGCATACAGCATAATTAGACCCAAAATATGACAAGAACAGTGCAGTTTCTTTGTAGACACTTGAACAAGGAATGATATTTATGTTAAGAATGCCTTCCAAAAGCTAAGCACAGTATTAAGAAACAGGAAAATTTACTTCATACTTATCTGTTATATAATATCAGTTCTCTTATATGGCAGTAAATGCAGCATAATCTCACAGATAAAGAGGCAACAGAAATCTGATTCTACAGAAGGATACTGAGAATACCATAGACTGAACAACGATGAAGTTTAAGAGAAAATGGAAACAAAAAAAGACATTTATACTTAGAATCAGAAAGAGGAAGATGAAATTTCTAGGGCACATAATGAGGAAAGAGGGCTTGGAGAATTTAACACTAATGGGATATACTGACGACAAGAGTATATGAAGTAGTGCCTAATGCACCTAATAAGTTTGTGCAAATGGTTGGCAGAACAGGGATTAGGATGGATTGATTTTTTTTAACAGCATATCAACTCCTTATGGGTCATTTAATGCCAAAATTTAATTTTCTTGGGAGCTTTGAAGTAATAAAGATGATATTATTCTGCTTCCACAATTGAATACATGGTAGATGATACTCAACTTTTTGGCATATACATGTTTGTGTTGACATAATTACTAGAGGCAAGTAGGTTTTATGCTGTAGTTTTGTTGAAGTTATATTTTGGAATACAGTTGATTGCTTTAAGAAATTGGAAGATATTATATAGATTAATATCATGAAAGTCCTTTCATGTTGGTTTTGTTCTGTGGTATATCAACCATTATGGGTTATTTAATACTGAAATCTAAATATTTTGAACAATTTTATGGCTTCAACTAAATATATCTTGTATGCAACTGTATGCCTTCCATTACAGATAAAATCTATTGGTCATTTTGCTTTTTTTTTTTAAAAAAAAAAAAAAGTTTTTTTATACTTTCATAGTGTTTTGTCTTGTTTGGGGTTCACTATTTGCCCATAGCTAGGACCCTAACAGTTGCTACCACCCCAGGTTAGGGTGAACCTGGGAACAGCAGCAATTAAGAGGTAGTTACACACTACTCAAAACCTCTAATCTCCCAATCAGAGACCTTGCCCCTGAGATTAGGCAAGATAGCAAAAAGACAAACTTTATTCAGAGCTAGAAAAGACAGGAAATTGTGGAGAGCCATGACTTGCAGAAGACATTAAATGGATTTTTGGTCCAACTGTAGATTTGAACTATGACTTCACAGATTACTTGAAAATCACCATTGGATGAAATCTAAGTTGAATATCTGGGAGGTGTTGAATTTTAAAAATATTTAAAGTAACCGCATTCTTTGTGAAGTATCTTTTATCAGATTCTTATTACAGCAATAAATATGGGCATAACACTGAATTATGTTTTGTAAGAACTTATAACTTAAGTGCCTTTGAGAAGTTAGTGTTAATGTTCCCATTGGTAGTCAGTTCTTCAATTACAAATTGGAACATGATTCTTTTTCCTGATTTTCCATATTATAGAGTTGAATTAACCTGACAAATACAAATAATTTCCTTACATTGTAAACTGAAGCATCCCACCCACTCAAAACTTAAGTCTGGGAATGAAAAAAAATATGCCAGAAACATGTTCAAGAGTTTCATTTAACAATAGAAAAATTGGTGTCGATTGCTGAGTTATATGATGCCAGATAAGGTATGGAACAAAGAAAGAAGAAGAGAGAGAGAAGTAATATGGGAACAATCTACCCATACAGATTAAATAAAGTATTCGGTTCAAAATTCTCTGAAGGTTACCTAGATCAATAGACACCTGAAGAAGGTCAGAAGGTACAAGATCAAAATGTGATAACAAAGGCAAGAATATCAATCTGAATGTAAATAAGACATTTAGGAAATTATAGCAAGAGGCCACAAGATATTTATAGCTCTTTACAAAAATCCAAATTAACCATTTAAGGTTGCAAGCTCCCAAATGCACCCTAATTTTCTCATGATGACAGTCTGGGAGCACCTGCATATACTTGCAATCAGGTAGCACTGTATTTCAATACACAACATTAACACCTATCACATCACATGATTAACTAGAAATATTGGAAATCTAAAAGTTGTAGATTTCGAAAATCTTATCTCATAACATAACCAGTAATCCCCAAGGAGGCTAAATATGGCATCATTTGAAAGAGAAATCAATTTACTTTCATATAAAATCAACTTGTAAAACTATTTTCAACAGTTTTTTTTTTGAGATATTCATTTAATCACATTCAAATTTTTTTTCAATAATTTGGTTAGGTCTCCAGAGATTTTTTTTTTAATCATTTCAATCCAATCAATGTGATAAAGCTACTAAGACACAAGAGGGCTACTGAGAGTTAAAAAAAATCTGAAGAGAGAGAGAACAATAAAATATGTGATTCAAGGACACAGAAGATGATGAATGACATTGCATTTAAATTTTTGAAGATCGAAGTTGACGAGAAAGCAAGAAACTGGAAGAGTTCCACAAGCAAGAAGTACAAGAGAAGAAACTATTAGCATAGAACTGAAGGTTATATCTACCAATTTTAACTGTCATATGATGTGACCTAGCTGCCAATCTAGTACTGCTCTTAAATTCTTAAAGACAAGGTACTGAAGAGGAAAATACATCAAAACAGTTACCACAAAATATTTATAGAAAAAGCAGTGAAGATATGTCACAGCAGTGGAAAAGTGATCGAAGCTGAGATGCCTGGTCAGGACCAAAAACATTGCAGACTATTTGAATTTTGTCAAGAATCTCTAGATACATAACAGAAGCACTAGATCATATGTGGTATTTATTGAGCAATAGATTCAATTGTTCCAGGTTATATCAGCAGAAATATTAGCTTGTTAAGGTGAAATGAGTCACTCTCCTGGAGGTTAGCACCAGCTATGCTGATGGAAGGCAAAAAGATTCTCTAAGACAATTAAAAGAGAGCAGTTGTGTTTTGGAGGCATTAAAATTAACAAGCCATTTTTTGTCCCAGTTAACAACAGATTGAAGGTAATTTTTTTTAGATCAACTGTCAATTTGACCTTATCAAACCTATCAGATTAACCATTAAGACAAGAGTAAATAGTTGCACCATCAGCATAGATACAGAGTCAAGAACTGATGACATTGGGAAGGTTGTTGATGAAAATTAGGCAAAAAAGATAGGTTCAAAGATAAAGCCCTACTAAGCACCCACATTAATGGATAAAAGATCTATGAGTGACTGTTCAAGCTCACTTTCATTTTGTGATTTGATAGACTTAATCAAATCAAGAATTCGCCCAGAAATGCCATAACCCTTCAACTTGTGAGGAAGTTGAGCCTGTCAAATGGTTTTGAGATCTGAAGCAAAAGCTTGAGCATTACCATTCTTATCTAAACAATGACAGGATTACAGCAATAACCATTAACATATCAGCAGTTAACCAAGCAAAGTAAAAGCCATATTGTTTATGTGATGGAAGGCCATATAAACTAATTCAGAGTTAATTAAAACTGCTAGCACTTTGCCAAAAAGAGGTAAAAGATTAATGGGACAATAATTTGAGGGATTAGAAGGTTCACCAGGGTTCTTAAAGTAAGGAACTACAGAAGAGGATTTTCAACAAGTTGGAAATCAAGAAACAGCAAGGCATTTATTATAGAATTTAGGGAGAACAGGAGGCTGTTCAAGAACACATTTCCTTAGGACAACTGTAAGGATCAAGTTTGCATGCTTTGTGGGGATCTAGTTTGGAGATGATCAGAAACCATAGATGGAGTTATATGCATATCACTCAGTATAGATTCCACTCTAGGTGGTAAATCAGGCAAAGATACTCCTAATTAGTCAAGAGTGGAGTTGGAAGAGAATTTACAAGCAAAGCATTCTGCTTTATCAGCAATATAGGATAATACATCAAAATGGTTGAAGAGCAGAGGGATTGAAGACATACTCTTATTTAAACACATTATTACACAACTGCCAGTAATCATGAGAACCAAATTTGTTAGATGCCATATGCCACCTCATTCTGTTAGCAAAGACTGGTAATAGTCATTGGGGACACGTTTACTATTATTACAAGCAGACACAAAGAGGCATCAAAACTATCACATTGGTGCAGCCATAAAAAGTTATGCCTGTGGGCATAACTGAACAGAAAAAGGTGAATCAAGGAAAATATCATAGCTTCAATTAGTAGTTTCCAGATGGCACAAAAGCATTGATACCGGGTTTTACTCAAAAAAAAAAAAAAAAAACATATCAGTGGCACAATTTTCAATAAGAAGTTTTAAAGTTTTACCCAAGAAAAGAAAATCACAAAATGAATTCCAATCTGTACACTGGTAACAGAAAGAAGTCTTATGAATAAAGGGTTCAGGTCTAATAAATTAAAAAAAAAAAAAATCTATCAACAGATACTACTGATCTTAATAGTCAAGAGGACAGAGTTGCAATGTTCAACAAGAGCTAAAAAAGGAAGTAAGGAACAATTTAACAATTGAAATCACTTAAAGGCTGATGGGCTTAATTTCTTTCAGTAAAAATATTGTAATTTTTCTCTATCAGAATCAATCTATTAAACCTGTTCCTGTAAAGAGTGCAAAGAAGAGTTGTGAGGAAAGCATGTGTATTGATTATTAGTTAATTAAAGGCAAACAATTCATCCAAATTTTAATGACATGCTTACCATCCTGTTTATTTTTCTCTTCAGCCAACACCTTTTTGGTCCATTCTGTGTATGAAGGGAAATCCTCAGACTTTTCACCACCTGCATTTGCCTCAGGCTTGTCAGCAGCTTCAGATTTTTCCACTTCTTCATTTGGCTGAGGGTCTATTTTTTTTTTCAAAGTGGCAGATAGATCCTCTTCAACATTTTCAGCTAGGATTTGGTTTTCAGAACTGTCCTCAGATGGTAAATCAGCACTGTAAGAAACAGAGGGGAAAAATAAATAAAGATTCATAACTTTAAAAATATTTCTTTGTTGTAGTATAAACATGTAGACATACATTCAAATTAAGTGGTTACATATTACGCTAAATGCTAATTGTGTTGAAATCTAAACATATTCACAAGAAAAAACAGGTGAAACATCTAGGAATTTAAATAAAAGAATTCATGAAAACAAAAGGCATCTTTTATGAAACAATACACTCAATGCATTAATTATTCATCGTAATAAATCTGGCCATAATTATAACTTGAAGAATGTAGTTCTAATTAAAGGCAAAAACAAATGTATGGAAAGTGCACTAATTTCCGAGTATTCTATAATAAATTTATGTCTAGGATCACCTTTCTTAACAGAAATACTGAAAATACATCTAAACTATTAATTGATACAAAAATAGATGAGAGTAGAAAATGCAAAGTTGATGCAAAATTGAAAGAATAACAATTATATACCATCAAATATAATAAATGAAATAAAATAAATAATAATTGCAAATTATATTGTTATACTAACTTAAAAACACACACACACTGTGCAAACTTTTAAGGTAGCTTCTGTGGAGGGCTAATTGGGCCTCCAGGCCAAAACTCGTCCAGCTTAGAAAACAGCAATGATAATTTTGAAGAAATAAGTTTGAATTCCTCAATTCACTCTATGGAACTTCAAAACCTCACTTTAATTGATTTGATCTAGGAGTTCAATTATGACCAAAAAAACTGATTTGGGTTGAAATTCCAATTCAAACCAAAAATTGAGTTCTTCAAATCACAAATTCTGGGGAACTCTAAAACTTCATGCCACAAAACCTCACTTTTACTCCAATTTCTTGGCATTTTGAAGAAATAAAATTGATTTCCTCAGTTCACAAAGTTTTTGAGAAATTTTAAACTGAATTTAAAACAAAAATTTTTAAATTCACAAGGTTTTTGTGTTACATTAAACTCAATATAAATTAAAAAATGAAAATCACTAATTTTTTCAGTTATTTTAAAATTTGAATTTTTTAACTGTTCTGAACACAAATCCCAATGCTGGATATCCAAGCACAAAATAAAGGGCAAATTTTCAATTCCGGTATGACTGTAATTCCAAAAAAGTATAATATATCTATATGTAGAGCAAGTGAGCTAATTTTCCCATTAAATTTTGCTCAATACTTCTTTTTGGGGTCAAGACATAACAGACTTTTTCCCTCTTCCTAGTACTTTTCCATCTCACCAGCACAAAATTAATTAACCCATAGCTGGGGGAGAAGATGTGGATTCATACCTTTTCCAAGGGTATTTGCATACAAGTGAATATAATGAACCCAACTGAAACTTGGCTCTGATTAACAATTCCAAGCTATTATCCACTAAACCACCTGCACATCAAAATTTACAGCACCTGGTATTCTTAAGCAGTCACCCATCTAGGTACTGACCAGGCTCAATGTTGCTTAACTTGTATGGGAATTGTTGTTTCAATGTGATACTTCCATAAGCCTAGGATAGTAAGGAGACAAACATAGCTACAAAAGTTGGGAAGAGCCATGATCATCCATGTCCTGAAGTAAATAATGCCCCCTCCCAGAAAGCCAAGTTCATGCATTAGCTGGTAGAAATTAAAGGTTTACCTGCTTTTTCATTACAAGTTTACTATATCTGAAGAAAAAGACTATTTTGAAAGTTTTCAAAAGTATCTAAAACAAGAGTCAATTTAAAAATAGTATGATATGACCTACATTGCTTGTAAATAAAGTACTTACTTAGGTTTGTTAAAATAAGTAAAAAAAAAAAAAATACTTTAACCATAAAACGTCAAATTTATTTTGAGGGATTTCTCCCCACTTCGTCAACTGAAAACCCATCCATTTTTTATTCACTCTGGGAATAATATCTTGTCACTCAAACATGACAGGCAGCTTGGGTCTTAATGAAGCAACAAATTTTTCACAAAAGAAAAAACAAAACAACAAAAAAAAAAAAACAATGTCAAAAAGTAATAAATCTTAAAGATTACTTTTTTTCAACCTGTCTCTCTCTCTCATATAAATATATATATAAATATATATAAGTATACTTGTTCATACCCATCTATGGCATGCAAAACACCAAGGAAAATAATTAAGTATCATATGTCAATCAGTCACATTTGTTATTTTAGTTTGACATTTTTTTTTTTTTTTTAGAGAATAGGTCATGAACACACATTTAAGTAATAAAATTAAATAATTTTACATTTTCTTCTTGAGATTAAAGTTAGAAAATTAAGAGAATGTATCCAGAAAAATAAACATCTTACGTATGAGTGGACTCCTGAGGCTGGTCAATTTTTGGAGGCTTTTTTTTGTCCTCGTCAAGATGCTGGTGATTGAAAGCACTTTCAGGGAGGGCCACATTTTCAGTGGAAGAATCATCTACATTTGATTTTTTCAAAGGGGCTTCCTGAGTTTCTTTAGAAGGCTCTGATAAAAGTCTGGAAAAAGAAGATACAAAAACATTCATTTATTCATTTTTTTTTTTTTAAGTCTCTTTGGCTTTTAAATTGTTTCCAGAAGATTTGAATAAAGTAGGAGAAACAAGAACATTCTTGGCAGTATAACCAAACCAACCATTACTCTTCAGTGCCTAATAGGTCTTATGGGGGGGGGTCTCTCTCAATATACAATAAACAGGGAGATCTTAAAAGGAAGTGGAAAATCATTTTAAATGTTCAGAATAAACAGGGTTAACTTAAGTTTAGTGTTGCAGAAGAAAAGAAAAGAATAAAAATTATATTTAAGCATTTGTCTAATTTTAGGAAGTTGATTAAACTAGCAACACTTTACTATTGCTTATATTCACTAGGGGCTATTGTTTATCTGGGAAACATTAGTTCAATCCCTAGGTAGCTCATATACCCTACTTCAGTGGAACTAGCAAAAGCTGCATCACAAAAATAGAGTAAAGGAGAAAAGCTCTCACTATGTGGAGCATAGGGCCACAGCTTCACCATGTTAGTGCTGCAGCTATGGTATCTGTAGCAAGTAGGATTTTTTGGAGTGGAGCTAACAACCCCATGCCCAACCAGTTTTGAACTCAGAGTTGATCTCTTAGGTTGGTTGCCAAACAAGGCTACAAAGCAGATTCTGCCCTGCTATTTAGCCCATAGGTGGAGGCAGAAAAAACAGATTCATACATTTCTGAAAGATATTTGTGTAGAAATGAATACAATAACTTCAACCAGAATTTGAACTTGGTATACCGATCTTGGTTTTCTAGTCAGTAACCTGTACATTCAGGATGTATAAAGAATTAATTTCAGGCCCCTTAGAATGGATAGCTGAATGAAAAGTCTACTCTCAGGTTTGGAGTTTCAAAAGTATTACTGAATACAATAGATACAAAAAAAGGTTGATGATAAAAACATGGCAACTGTAAAAATCAAGATTAGATACCGTCCTGGGTATGACGATAAACTACATCCGCATCCTGGGTAAGACAATAAACTACGTCCAACAGCAAGGCCTCTGATCATGAGGTTTTGAGGAGTATGAAACCACCTCTTAATTGCTGGTGTTCCCAGGTGCACCCTGACCAAGGGTGGTAGCACTTGTTAGGGTCCCAGCTATGGGTAAATAGTTAGCCCTGAAACTGGGGTAAAAACACTATGAAAGTGTAAAAATAGGTTTCAATACCAGAAATACTTTGTAAAAAATTATTATCAGCAATAAATTTTTGAAGAAAAAAAACTATTACCAGCAATATCTTTTAGAAAAAATATATTACCAACAATACGTTTTTGAAAAAAAAAAAATATTACCAGCAATCAGTGAAACATATACTGTTAGTGTGTGTAGATTTTGATCTAGTGCAAATAAAATATTACCAAGTTAGTAATTTAAAAGAACTTTTTATGAAAATAAAACCAAGATTGTAAATTTCCTAAAAGAAGTTGGATTGTACTCAAAAATATGAGTAATTGAAAAATGGTTCAAATATATATATGTATACATACACACCCTTTTTTTTTTTAACCAAACTATTGCTATGAATCTATTTCAAAAATTTTGTTGGCATTAAATGACCCACTGAGGTTTTGATATGCCATAAAACAAAACAACCACAAGATTAGATAGTTTGAATAAATTAGTGCATTTCATAATGATAATTTTTCAATGAAGATAATAAAAATATGAATAAATATGTATTAAATTCAAGTTACATTCACTTTCACACAAATACCTAGCCATAGTTGGCAACCAGTCTATAACAAGAACAACTCTTAATTCATGCTTTGACACTGTATAAAGATGTTTAGATATTGGCTACAGCAGTTGCTAAATCTGTAAAACAAAAACATGCACTAAATTTTAACAGTTACGGATGATCCCTTGATTATCCAGAATGCTGTTGAAACCAACAGGCATTGGTGTCAGTGTGCTAATGAATATAATCCAATATCATAATTTAAAGTAAATTTCTGTGATGATAGATGTAAAGCTAAAAAGACTTTCCTTTTGTCACCTCTTTCAGATTAGAAATGCAAAGCAATGGAGTAACAATCATTCATTCTGGTTATGATGATAAACTACAGTAGACAGCAAGGCCTTTGATCGGGAGTTTTTGAGAAGCATGGAACCATCTTTTAATTGTTGTTGTTCCCAGGTCCACCCTGACCTGGGGTGGTAGTACCTGTTAGGGTCCCAGCAATGGGCAAATAGTGAACCCCCAAATTGGAATCAAAACACTATAAAAATAAAAATACACTTTGAGTTAAAAAAAAAAAAAAAAAAAAAAACCAGCATCAGATTTTAATAGCAAAGAAAATTACCAAAGCCCCTCCCCCAAGAAAATTAAATTTCGGCATTAAAGTTTATATCCTGTGAAATAAACTAAACCAATCATAATCTAAGGCATACACTTCCGTAAAATAGTAAAAATGTTGAGAGAAAAAGCGAACAACTTTCTACATTAGAAAAAACAAAAATATGGCAAAGTAATTTTGTCAGTACATTGTAAAGACTTGTGAATAGTTAAATGAATATTTTACATACAATAATTCTATTAATCACAAGATTAATTAGAAAAATAGCCAAAAAAAAGGAAAAAAGCTTAAATTGTTCAAATATTTTAATTAAAGCATTGTTATTTATTTCTATATTATTTCTTGCTTTTTAACAAAGCTATGTAAGTCTAAATTATCAGAAGCATATATAACCGAATTTTTTTTACTATTTATTCACACATTCCCAACAATAGTAGTAGTTAGGTTCACACACTTCCACAGTCATATATATATATATATATATATATGTATATGTTTTAATGCAACTTTTACTTCAAACATTATTTTTAGTGGATTTACAAATTTGAGTAGCAGCGCCATCTTATTTTAAAAAGTATTTGGTCTACTGGCCTGCACACTTGAGAAAACTTATTAAAGAAAATGTGCTACCATAATTCGAACGTGTCTCATTTTGCAGGAAAAACCACTAAGTTTGCTTTAAAGGTAAATAGAACCTTGCTTGATTGTGAAGATCTACATAGCTAAGTGGTTAAAGCATGCTGGATCAAATGATGGTTTCTCCCACTAAGGAGGATGCTTAACTGACTTCATTCAGCATCCTCAATGCTGTTTTTTTTTTTTTTAAATAATAATTGTGATAGCAGTATATTTGTTAAGAAAAGTGAAATGTAGTATGAACTGAAATAAAATTTACCATGGAAGACATAAATCAGTGCACTTTCTATACATTTTCAAGTCTATAGCTATCACAATATGGGATATTTAAAAACAGCATTAAAACAAAAAAAAAAAAAAGAAAAAAAAAAGAAAATGAATTGGGAAGCTATACATGGCCTGTACATTTATACACATTGGATATCAGTAATTTAAAACTTAAATTTAAATGTCCCTATTTCATCAACATGACCTTTCAACCTATAATTATAACTAATGTTTTTGTTTATATTTTCACCTCTTTCCATTATATACATAATTGCATCAATAATAGCATTAAGGTGATGAAGTCTTTTTGAAGGATAAAAATGCATTACATAGTTTTTTTTTCATTTCTTGCGTGTGTAAATATATATTTCTTAATTAAATGTAATAATGTTCAATACTTATTGAAGCAGACTCAGAGTTTCATAATTTCCTCAAATACTCATCAGGACTTTCAATAAGAAAGACTATTGATTACTGAAAAATCTATTTTATTTTATAAATGTATACATATATGCTTTCAAATTTAAAATTTTGAAGGTATAATTGTCTATCTTCTGAGTTCTCCTTGAAAACTGAAAAGCAAAATAATTATGATATGCTTTTTTACTTTTAGTAGATATATACTTGTATATCTGAACAGATATGTATATTTTAAGAACTGGGAAAATCTCATGTTCAAAAGCACTATTTGAGCTTTTGTTTGACCAAGAGGTTCTTTGGGGCTGAGAGGTCAAGGCATGTTAGATTCAATGAGAGTTTCCCTTAAGGAACACAGGTTCAAATCCTGCCAGAGGGTGCATATTTTTCTAAGAAGATTTCTCAAATATTTAAGTCAGTAGATGGAAATAAATATACTGTTTAATATATATATAAACCAGAGCATCTACTCAAATATGAGTATCCATTAAAAATAACATTTAAGCAATAAATTAATCGTGATTAATAAATGAAAAATTAATTCCTAAAAATAATTACGTCAATAAAAATATTCAAAATTATGCCATTCTGACTTATTGTTAATAACGATTTTACATTATATATATATATATATATATATATATATATAAATGCTGAATTTAGGCAGCAAAAATTAATTCAGACAAGTCTTATTGAATAATACCAACAAAGTCTTCTTTTTTTAAAACTTCTGACTGAGGTGTTTTATACCAGAGTTAATTTTTTTATTCATTTGGATAGTTCAACTATCTCTCTCTCTCTCTCTCTCTATATATATATATATATAAAAACCTTAAATAACCTATTCATTTTTAATTGATACTTCTAATGTATATAAAATTAATTTTTAACCTTAAATAACCTATTCATAATTGATACTTCTAATGTATATAAAATTAATTAATATTAAATAACCTATTCATAGATACTACTATGTGTGTGTGTGTGTGTGCGTGCATTATGTGTTTTGCAGTAAAAATAGATGAAAGAAAAATTAATCAGAATCGAATATGGCTATATGATTACAATAACTGTTGTTGCTGATATCCTGTACTAAAGTCAGTTATTGGTTTGATAACATTTAGCAAAAAGTTAAAATCTAAATTCTATAATTCTGTTTATTGTCATGTAACTGTGTTTGGAATTATTATGGCAATGGCATAAGAATAAAAAATAAAAGCTAAAGTAGAATAGAACAAGTCAATAAAGATCTGGAAATTTGAGAGTGAAAGGTGTCTTACTTTTGAGGCGAATTAACCTCAACTGGTTTGGTCCTTTTTATAGATTCAGCAGCTGCTACATTCTGGGATTCCACCTTTGGGAGAGTTTTCGGTTGCACCTAAAATAAATATATTTCAAATTGGATTGCAACAGAGTTACATAACTCTGCACCCTCTTAAATTCAGCCTCAGAATAAACAGAAAAATAGGTTTATACAGAAAATCATTTCCTCAAAGTTATGAACATGTACATTCATTATGAAACAGGTGCAGAATTTAAAACTTTGCAACTATAAACATAAAATTTGAAATACTCAGCATGCAAAAATTGTTAGCTTTACAAATTTATTCATAAAATGTGCCTAATATTTTTTTCTGCAGGTGTATTTGGCACAAAACTTAACTCACCACAGATCAAATTAAAATTTGGCAATTTGAGAATAAAAATTTCTAGATATTAGTATTTCTAGATATTAGATCATTTCCAAAATTTGTACCCAATTAAAAAACAAAATTTTACATACACAAAAAAAAAAAAAGAAAAGCATTCATTAGTCAAGTGCATAGTTTACATTGTATTTTTTAATGACTGTCTCATTGTTCTACAAGCTTGTTGATGTAATTTTTGTAGAAACTTTGTTTTTTGTTGGAAGAAGGTTGTTAGTCTAATTTTTTGTCATTTAAATTGTTCTGTAGAGACTGGAATAAATAAAAATCTGAAGGAAACAAGTCCGAAGAATATGGTGGCTACTCAAATGTTTCCCCATTTAAACTTTCTAAGCTTTTGCAAGGTCTGTTTTGCAACATGAGGTCACGTGTTGTCATGGTGGAAAAATAGCACATTTTTGATTTGCCAAAATTGGCCAATTTCAAACTCATAGCAATCTCTTCCATAGAAATCTTTGCTTTATTCTTTACAATGGCAAGCAGAGTGTTTTAATTGATGTCAGAAGGTCGTCCAGAGTGTGGTTGATTGTTTAGTTTAAAATCCTACTGACAATCTACCAGACCATTTTATAAACTGCCAAAGACTTGGAGTATGATCCAAATAAACCTTCTGAATGTTTTTTTTGTTGCTAATCAAATGTTTACTCTTTTCCAAAATTCATAAAGCATAAAAGTGCAGCTTTTCATCCCCCCATCTTTAAGGCATTCATATTTATGGAAAAAATATCAGCATTGTTGGTTGATTGATTTTGTTTAGTGACATATCAACCTCTGTGGGTTATTTAATGCTGAAATCTAAATATTCTGTAGATAATTTTATGCTTTCAACTACAGATATTTATACTTTCCAGGTAAAAGTATGTTTTTTAGGTATATATTTTGTAGATCATAAAATGTACTGTTGATAATTTTACTATAAAAATGTATTTTTATTTTTTAATATTTAGTGTTATATTGTCATTTTTGCTATTGTTGCTCATTTTATCATAAAAATGTACTAGCTGGGACCCTAACAAGTGCTACCACCCTAAAAAAAAGTGACTTACAATGGAACAATGAAAAGTCTCAATTTAGATCACACTAGAAATTGATACCAAAACAAATGCCAGTATCAAGTTACAGTCATTTTATATTAACAATGAAAATCAGGCACAAACTTTTGCAATGATTTGATATTTCTCAGATATATATTCATCTTTGTTTTTAATCACAATTTTTAGGCTAATATTAATTCATTTTTTTTTCTACAGGTATTTGATTTGTAAGTAATAAAATGGTCATTGGGTGTGCAGTTAGTTTAAGGGTTATTGGTGCTGAAAATGGAATCAACAAGCAGACTTCAAATTCTAGATTAGTCAGTTCTATTCAGTTAAGCACTACTGCCCTTGGGAAAGACATGAAGCAAACTATAGAAAAACACAATAAGGTAAATTGGGATCTCAAACCTTGGATAAGAAGTTTATCTAGGAATACATGGAATTCAAACCACTTCCCTAACAAATTATGGCAAATCATAGAAAATGCAACCTATGAAGAGCTGTGATTACCTAGGTCCTGAAGGGAAAAAAAAAAAAAGGGTGGGTAATAAAGGCCCCCTACCATCAATAACACCACGCTATATTTCAAAATTCCAACATATATCACTTGAGGAAGGCCAGAGCATACAACATCTGAAATGTGAATATGACAATTAAGATGAGGACAACAATCTGAACAATGTAAATAGTTATACCTCATCTAAGACGTCATGTCAGTAATATAGACAGATGCTCTCAGAATTAGTCTAACAATTTTTTGGACAACTGAACTTGTATTTCTTCTTGCTACCACAATGTTTTCAGTCAATTCATTCTACTGGTGCTCCCCCCCCCACTAAATGTTCACCTAATACAAGACATTATTCTGCATTTTTACCAATATCTTTTTTTCAAGTCTTTGTTGCATTTAGGGTTCTTTAGAAACCACTTGGTACTTTGAGTATTTTTTCTCTCCTCTATCTCAACAAAAATCTGAACAGAATCATAGGACCGAATGTTAAGGCATTGTGTTTAGTACTATTAAAGAGTGCATTAACAAGTTGATAATGTCAGAGATTAAATTTTTCAATGTGCTTTGTTTTGATTTCTGTTATATAAGACCTTAAATTGCAAGATTCTACCCCACCAGCACCAATTTTCTTTTCACATTAAAATATAAACTTAGAATATGCTGGAAATGTCAATATAGTTGAAAGCTGTACAGAAGAAATCAATTTTAAGTTCTTCATTACAAAAGTTGATAGCATCTCCTCCTGCAAACAAAGGAAATTTGGATATTTATGTTGATGCGAAAGCATTCACAGGTTCTTGCCTTGTATATAAACCCATGTCTTAAGATACTTCATATGCATTTATTAAAATACATGGTGTGTATTGTATTTATTAAATATTTTGTTGGAATTGTTGATTGATTTGCATGAAAATAAAACTGTTTAGAAAAGATTGCTCAACTACTATTTAATATCAGTCCTGCTATACAGTAGTGAATGTTGGACAATTTCTTCAGAGGAGATTTGAGGCAACAGAGCTATCTTTCTACAGAAGTATAGTTGAGAATACCATGGACAGAGCATCTAAGCAACAAGGAAGTTTCAAGAAAAATGGAAACAAAAAAACACTTAAAACAGAAACAAAGTTGAAAGTTCTGTCACATAATGAAGAAAAAAGGCTTGTAAAATCTGACACTCAAAGGTTCTTGAAAGCCAAAGAAACAGTAAGTAACCTGCCTAATAAATTCAAAACAACAGATAACTCATTTAGTGAGCTTGAGTAAATGGAATGCAGAACAAGGTTTAGGAGAGATAACAAAGACAATTTATTAAGAGCTACAAAGAACAGGAAAGATTGCCTAAGTCTTGAATGGAGATTGCAGAAAGAATATGGATGGCAGAACAGGGAGGTGGAGGGATAGTAAAATAAACATTGCTAAGAGATACAAAGGATAAGGATGTTGTGGGAGAGCCAGGATCATCCACATTCTGAAAGGACATGGCACACATCAATTTTTAGAAGAAAAACCTGATGATAAATTTTATCCTTTAGAAAAGTTTCAATTTACAAAGCTTTGCTGTGAAAGGCTTTACAAAGTGACATTTCAGTAATAAGTCAGACATTGGTCAATGTGAGAATTAGTCATCTGGTAAGTTCTGTGGCTACATGAACAACACAAAACTTTGATCACCAAATGTCAGCATTTAAAAGAGGTAAATATATATCTCGGTACACATTTGTTTTTGCTCCCATGTGTTAAGGTTTAGAAAGGCTAAAAAACAAAAAAACGATATTCAAATGGTAAATATATTTTCCAGTAGGAAAAAGATTTTTGTGTGACTGACATTTCTAAAAATGTTTAAGTAGAGAAAAATTATAAAAAGAAAAAAAAAATCAGCTGTCAAAAGATAACATATTAATATAAATTTGTATTGAATAGCAGTAGTTAAATTTATATTAAATTAAGAAAACTATGGATGTGCAGGTGGAATAATTGTTAGTGTTTCAGAAAGAGAAATTGGTGAGCCATGTTCAAATTCCAGTTGTGTCAAATTTAAAAAAAAAAAAAAAAAATAATCAGAGAAACTGAATAAAATCAGACTACTTGTCTAGACACATCTGAAAACAAAATTAAATTTAAAATTTCAGCATTCCAACCTCCTCAGCATTTAAAATCCAATGCCTGCATTTTTATATCTCTCCCATTCCTATTACAAACATAATTTCATCAACAAAAACATTACTTTAGTCCAGGCATGTCCAAAGTCCAGCTCAGCGGCCAATTATGGCTCACAGTCAAATGTTATATGGCCTACATCCTCTGTCATAGAATGTATCACTTACAGTCCACCAGTATTGTTAATCAGAATATGTAAAATACACACCTAAGAAATGCAATTTCATGTTTTACAAAAAGATGACAGCAGCACTGTGGTTGCACTCTGGTGGTGTGATCCTGACATTGGCCTTTTCCAGCCAAATTCTAAAATCTCTGCCTTTGAACCAGACCTGGCCTACATACTGCAGTCCAGATCTCAGTATCAACCTTCACTTTAGTGGAGGAAAGTTATTTGTCATACGAGATGAATAAATTTTAAAATCTTAGTGAATAAAATTTGTTTTGTGTTGGTCAAAATTACTTATAAATATATTTGGACACTTGAGCTTTTGTCACTTTGTTTTCTACTTCTTGATAAGATGAATGTTGGTGTTATGTTCCTATTCATATATTTTTAACTTAAAAGTTGACAGCAACATTACCAATAATATGTAATGTTTAATATTAACCCAAGATATATTATAGCTTCCTGGAAGTTCTTTTTTTTTTTTCTCAGACATATTTTACTTCATCTTATATGGGCTTCAGATGTGACAGGCTGAGTGATTTTGGTAAGACATGTTTAAATTTATTTGTTATCTATGTGAAGAAATGAAAATATACCATTTGCAATAAAATTTTAATAAGATAGTTCACTTGCATTTCATTTTAATTGTTCAAAGTATGCCGAGCAGAATGATTGGCCCTCACACATATTCACCTAATCAAATCTGGCTCTCTTTGAAAAAAGTTTGGACATCCCTGCTTTAGTCCAATGAAGACTTCTAGAGAACAAAATGCAATATATAGAACTGTTTTCCACTTT